TCCATTCTTCTCCAACACCACATTTCGAAACTTTCCAGATGTTTCTGATCTACTGCCCTAAGTGTCCATGTTTCAGCCCCATACAGAGCTATGCTCCAAATGTAGCATTTCACTAGTTTCTTCCTCAAATTTAAGTCCAGTTTGCTGGTAAAAAGATTCTTCTTCTTGCTAAATGCAGCTTTTGCCATGGCAATCCTGGATTTAATTTCACTAGTACACCTTCCATCATCTGTTCAACTAACATAGACAATAAAAAAATCTTATTACAATTATAATTACTAAACATAAATTAAAAAGAGCATTACTATAAAAACTTAAAATTGGTACAGTTTCACTCAAATTACTCAAATTAACTGAATTAAATGCTTTCTTTATTTCATTTTCCCATAAATCAAAATACATTGATACAGGACTCTCATATACATACATACACATCCTCCACGTTCCATAAACATCCACACAGGCAACAGATCCAGGATGTGGAAATAGTCACAAAACACATACACAAACTCACACAAGCCACACAACGAAGATCACCCACATTAGTTATCTAACACATACAACAATACGAGGCAAAAAGATAATATCCTGATTAACAGACATAAGTCACAAGTAACCACAATACAACCCCTCACATCTCCCGTACTGACTATATTAAAATGTGGTGTTAAAACATTCAAATTTATGTACATTTGTAATTAAAAACCCATTTAATGCATAAAAAGAGTTAGCATGTAAAAATCTTTTTAGGGAACGTTCAAAGGATTTATGGTTATTAGATAATTGATATGATAAAGATGAAAGGTAAGGTTGTCCCTGTGCTTAATTAAACACCAAATCATGAAGATGTGTCCTTGTGCTTAATTTGCACCACACCATGGAGTTTTAAGTTAAGAGGCGGTAAAGCTCCATGAATCCTCACCTCCTGTACTAGATGGAGGTGAATGGTAAGCTTTATCTTCTGGTCACTTTGTGCCCTGGTTAGAGCCCATGGAGTCTTCCTGATAGGAGGCTTGTTGGGTCCCAGGTCTCAGGAATCAAACTTCATTTGTCCAACTTTTCTTATAGTCTAGACACTTTAATAATAAGCAAACCCAGCTCTGGGATTTGAAAAATGTGGTGGGGAAGTGAGCACTGAATTTTTTTAAAATCAACAATTTGGTTCAAATGTAACTGTGGGTGGACAGACAATTTCAGCATCCTTAACTTTGTATAGATCTATGGAAAGAAAAGTACAGTCAACTCTCGATTATCCGGGGGCAGATTAACCGGTTTGCGGCTTAACCGGGGCTACTGAGGCTTTTTTGAGGCTTATATGTTGTTTAATATTCATTCACTTTTGTTTCACATGGTGAGTTGTAACACGATTTTTGCACTAGTGTGAACCGAGCTCTGCATTCTTTGGTTCCCTTATGCTAACACAATGTTCTAGGCTAGGGGTGAAAGAATGCAAGGATTTGTGGAAAGTTTCAAGGACAGATCCATCGCCCCAGTTAGTTTCTTTGTATCTATTTCAAGTGCGTTAGCAAAATGTCAGGGTGTAAAAGGAAGCGTGTTGTGTTAAGTATTCAACAGAAAAAGGAAAGTGCCGCGAAAAAGTAAACGACAATATTAAATTTTTTAAGTGTTAAGTGTGAATATTCATAAAAAGTGTTTGATGTTGTTGAAGACTGTGATTGAAATAACTAATTCATACTTCAGTGTAATGTAAAAAGAGTATTAAATAGGCCATGAGATGACATAAAAATGAGGTTGAATAAATTTAAATACAGGTAGGCCTATAGTATTATGAAGGTACAGTATTACAGTACTACTTTTAATAAAATTTGTCTTAACCGGGTTTTCGATTAATCGTGATTTCCATCCCCACCTTTATCCTGGATAATCGAGAGTTGACTGTATATGAGTATGAGTATAAGACCCCATATCACACAGATATTGACACCATAAGAGTAAGGAAAAGAGGCTAGGAAAGTAATTATATACATTATAATTTTCAGAACTGTGGGTCTGAACCAGAGTGAGGAGAGGAGCCATAGGTTGCTGCAAGCAATGATACTACATCAGAAAACTCAGCAACCCTCAATTCTTATTCACATGTTCTTGAAGGGAACAATCCAGCTCTCTGAACATAGCATGCAAACATTGCAAGTGATTTTAAAGTGCTGTGATTTACCAGAAACTCTGGAAGCATTTCACAACATTCAGTCAAGAGTACCTTCTTATCAAACTGCTAACCAGAGACCTGAATCTTTGAGATGTGCCTTATTAGATTGGTTGTTACCAAACAAAGAAGACTTGGGACTTACAGAATTGAACTTGGTACCAATTATGCCCTCACTTATGTCAAGGTTACTTGTTGAACTTGTTGTTAAATCACACTGTGATATGGATGACAGTTGTGTGAGTGAAAACACATGTGTTCAAAAGTTTGTCACAGATTCTATTGAAGATGATTATATGATAAGTTCCTTTGAGATGGGTCTCTTGTTGAAAAACTGCAATAATGTATTATCTTGTACCAGCAAGGAGAATAATCATAATTCCAAGTTAGCCATTGCATCAGCCAAAGATAAGTTAATAGAACTTCTGAAACGAGATTGCTCTATGGTCACAGAAAGGATGGTAATACCTCAAGATTCTACTACCAAGCTGAAAGTACTCACAGATTATATTTCACATTGTTTGCTTATTATAAGTACACTGTCATGGATGCTGAAGTGGAATGTAATTACATCACATAATCTTCCTACATTTAGGTAAGTGTACTGTTTCATTTTTAATTTTATGCAAGATTAGTTGTCAGTGCAGAAATGCTTAAAATGTTACAAAAAGTGGATGAAAGAAAAAAGAAAGTCAAAATGACTGATAAATATGGTATTATACTGTGAACTCTTTCTGCATTTTCTTTATTAAAACTGTCACAACACAACTATATCAATGTCAGTGCCTAGTTTTGGCATCAATGTCAGTGCCTAGTTTTGGCTCTGCTACATGTTTCAGCTATTAATAGCCATCATCAGGCAAATACATAGCTAACATATATGCACCACTGTATTCTTGTAAGGCAGGCATGATTATCTTAGTCTGAACAGGAATGGATTGTACATCCTTGCTATGTAAAGCATCTGTACATGTGTTTAGTTGGCAGCTACACATATCTCTCTCTGTGCATCCTCACTTACAGGAAGTGAGTAAATGCTGTGTTTTAACATCATGGTTGAAGTGTTTCAATAGTAAACTTATAAAGAGGATACTTTATGATATACTGAAGATGTGTTTTAATGTTGACACAAAGAAAATCAGTAACATTTTTTAAGTTAATTATATTATAAAAAATACAATATACACATAAATGTGTGCTGCTGCAAAATGTTTTTGACGAAAATCTGCAGTATATATTTGTAATATGTTTGTTCATCAGTTGGCATTAATCTTTTGCTTAATCTTACAGTCTTACTGGCATTGTTCGAAAAATGATGGATTATTTAGCTTCATTTGCAAGTAGAATTCTTGTAGCATCCAGAATGGAGAGGAACTTATCTGTTGTGATGTGTGTGTTGCACAAGCTGCGGCAGCTCTTTGAGGTTGAGCTTCATGAAGATGTAATGAGACTTTTGCAGGAGCTGACACCTACAGAGCTGCTGGATGCTGTGCACAGCGTAACTACAGTGAAACATATGCAAGGAGCAATGGCCATGGGTAAGGTAGAACTGTTTCATACAATATCATGATATTGATATCTTCCATATTTACAGAATGGAGCCAGTAAAAAAATTTCAGCTCTTCACCTCCAGTCCTACCCAATGCTCATTTGAATAGCTTTAAAACCAACATTTTATCATCACTGAGACCATGTAGTAAACTTTTATATTACAGTTTCTATCCTAATGATGGAGGCATTGGATTCCTCCGAAATGTTGGTAACCACGTTCCAGACTGCACATTATCATGACCTGACAGACCACAGTCTGTCTTCATCTTGAAAATCTCAGATCTCATACATTATTGGGAAGTTCTACAGTTTTGGAGGAGGCTAGAAAAGCAGCAGCCATAAAATGTAATTTTTTTTATAATTTTGACTTTTAACACCTCAATAGATACAGATGAGTGGTCAGCTTCACTGCCTGACTGTTTTACACCCAGGGAAAGAGCCCCTGGTACCCATTGGATAAGAGGCTGGATGGGCCCTAGAGCTGGTCTGGACACTGTGGAGAAGAGAAACTGTTGCCTCTGTCAGGAATCAAATCCAGGCCATCCAGCCAGTATCCTGTAGCTATACCAACTGAGCTATCCTGGCTCCTGTACTCAATTATACATTTTTTTTCATTTAAAAAGTAAGGAGTTGTCTTGTATTTGTTGACAATGGATTGACAAAACCTGTGATTTTTGGAAAAATTAAACATTTTCAGGTTGTTGTGTGTCTTGAACACGACAGATTGGTATGAAAATAATTCAGAAGCAATAATTGGTAGATTTTTGTTACCGGTATTACTATAGTCACATGCAGTTTAATCAGATGAATATTACTATGGGTGTAACTCTATTTTTGAGATGCATTTCATGATAATGCAGCATCTATCTAATATGAATGCATATGCCCTTAAGCATCTTTGCTGATGCTCAACCAGAGATGCTTGGAACAAAAATATTCTAATATTGGTACTGTATGAATGTGCAGGCAAATTCATACAAAATTTTATCCAATATCCTCTGAAGGTTAAGTCTTTACATAGATGAAATAAATGGGGATTGTCAGTATGGGTTTCGACATAACAGATCAACTACTGATCAGATTTTTTGCATTCGTCAGATACTGGAGGTTAATTGGGAGTACAATGAGACAGTACATCAACTACTCAGAGACTTCAAAAGAGCCTGTGATTTCTTTAGGAGGGAAGTATTGTACAATATTCTGATAGAGTTTGGGGTACCCATGAAACTAGTTAGGCTGATTGAAGTGTTTTTAAATAAAACCTATAATAAAGTCCATATAGGTACACACTTGTCTTATAATTTTCCTATCCAAAATTGTCTAAAACAAGGAGATGCTGTTATCACCACTGCTTTTCAACTTTGCTTTAGAATGTGCCATTAGGAAGGTGAAGGAAATCCTGGTGGGACTGGAATTAAAAGAGATATCAGCTGCTGGTCTGTGCTGCTGCTGATAATCTACTGGGAGATAACATAGATACTCTAAAGAAAGACACAGAAACTGTAATTGATGCTAGTATGGAAGTTGGTCTAGAAGTAAATGCAGAGAAAACTAAGAATATACATAGGTCGCACTGAAAGTCAGGAGCAACTTTTTTTGCATGCAACCTGGGAACAGCAGACGAAAGAGAGTATGCTGGTAGGTGGAACCAGCTGTTGTGTTGACCTTAAGTGTCTTGTGACATCAATAGCTTGCATCACGTGACCAGTATGACTCCTAACAAAATGGCCAACAACGATATGTCGTTTTGCCAGCGCGCTGTCATCAAATTTCTTGTGAAAGAGGAAATCCCTGCTGCAGAAATTCACCAGAGACTTCAGCGTGCTTATGGAAGTGTGTGCATGGGTGCGAGCAGTGTTCCAAGATGAGTGAAACATTTTAAAGATGGGAACACCAGCATCAAAGATGAGCCTTGGAGCGGTCGTCCTCGAACAGCCTCAACTGACTGCAACAAGGAAAGAGTGGATGAGATCATTCAAGATGACAGGCGTCTGACTGTGGACACAATAGCCCGAAAACCTGGAATAGGGTACAGTGCAGTACAGGAGATGATTGAAAGCTTGGGCTATAGGAAAGTTTGTGCTTGTTGGGTCCCGCAGTTATTGACCGAAGACCACAAAGGTCAGCGGAAAGCCATCACCTCAGAACTGCTGCAGAGATATCGACACGAAGGCGATGATCTTTTTCTCTGTATTGTGACAGGTGACGGAAGCTGGTTTCACAATTTTGAGCCTGAAACGAAATGGCAGAATATGGAATGGCATTGTTTGCATTCGCCATCAAAAAAGAAGGCAAAGACAGTGTCATCAGCTGCAAAGGTGATGGGCACAGTCTTCTGGAATGCAGAGGGGTTTATTCTGGCCGAATTCCTGGAACCTGGGCAAACCATCAGTGCTGTTCATTATGTCCAGATGCTGCACAAGCTCCATCGTGCATTGCGCGATAAATGTCTGGGACGAAACATCATCCTGCATGACAAAGCTCGCCCCCATGGCACTCGCCTCACATTGGAAGCAATTGCAAAGATGGGGTGGGAAGTTCTTCCACACCCCTCCTATAGCCCTGATCTGGCACCCTCCGACTACCATCTTTTCGGATTTGTGAAGGATCAGCTGCATAGACAACGTTTTGAGACAAGGGAGGCAATTCAGAAAGCAGTGTGTCAGTGTCTTCGGATGGCTGAAATCGAATTTTACAGAAGGGGAATTTTCTAACTCTCAGAACACTGGGAGAAATGTGTACAAAGAAGTGGCGATTATGTGGAAAAATAAAGAAAGGTCTGTAGATTGAGGTGATGTATTTGGTTTGTCAATAATAAAGCATGTTACTTTACAAAAAATTGTTGCTCATGACTTTCAGTACGACCCTCGTATTTCTGACTCATCACCAGAATGCAAGGAAAAATCATGGCACAAAGATATCTAACAAATCCCCTGAAAATGTGGCACAGTTGAGATATTTGAGAACAAAAGTAACAAATCAAAATTTGATACAGGTGGAAATTAAGAGGAGATTGAAATCAGACAATGCTTTAATTGTTTCTTGCATCCTGTTGTGTATTTAATCAATATTAGAGTCAATTTTACCGACCACACAACATATTTTTATTATTATTACACTACATGTTTCGACCTCAAGAGGTCATCCTCAGGTGTACGAACATAGCTGTATAATTACACGCAATCACATTCGTCTTCTCACTTATTCGATCCCGTATCTTATTCAGGCCCACGCTCAATAATATATCAAGCTCCTCTCACAAAACACAAGTTAAAATATTATTCTAAATGTCAAAAGTTAAAATTTAAAATTTGTGAATCGAATTTCAATTCAGATCACTAGTTATGCATTCACTTTCACTTGTTTTTTCAGTCCCTTCCTACTTACGTTCATCACTGCGTCAAGTTCACTTTAACTAGTTTAATTATATTATTAGTTAAAATTCATGAATTAAAGTTCAGTTTTATTATATTGATTACACTCTTCACTTTTTGGAGGTCTCACTGTTCTTCTGCGTCTTCTGATGTTGCTGGATCTGTTATGGTTCTTGTTGTGTCTCGTGTTGTGTGTTCCCTTTTTGGTTGCAGCCAAAAAGGGAGCACACAACACGAGACACGATATACACTGAGAATAAGAGGAACGACTCCCATAGTGGTGAAACTATGCGTGGCGTTAGAATTGGGACAGATAAGATAAATAATCTTAACAAAATTTTTAGTATATAAATATTTATTATAATTGACGAACATTTTTAAATACTTTTTAAATTTTACAATGACATGATGGCAAACAATGAAATAGATTGACGTAAATGGAGCACCTGATGATGGCACTATAGTGCCGAAACATGTTGTGAAATAACAAGTGAAATTGAGTGCACTAAAAGACGGACACTGCAGACATATCATGGATCTAATGATTATTAATGTGATAAAAATACTAATCATGTACCATCCAGGAAGGACAGTGGAGCTCGTATGCAGCAGCAGAGGAAGCATTAAAACTCTCATTCAGTGAAAATTTACTGTAAGACTCATTAATCTAAATGTTATATTTGTACCAGAGAGATGTAGTTAATAGTTATATATGGACATTTGTGTGTGTGTGTGTGTGTGTGTGTGTATGGGGGGGGGTTGCTATTCTATGGTATGGTCTCTCTGAGGAGAAATACTTTTTGTTTGTGATTTAACGCTGTGTAGTGTGATAGAAGTTCGCTATCATTTTTGGAAACAAACTGCCTCTATCATTAGGGTCTCCTGACTGCCTGTTCCATGCTGGTTTCTTACTTGGCTTACTTGTGACCCTGAAGATGTGGGCAGTACAATCCTCATAAATGTCAGTGGACTTCCAGAAAACACAACATTACATAACAGAAGGTAGTGAGTGTTCTTCAAGATTATTGTTGGGCCAAAATGATATTTTGCTTGTACAGGGAGATTGAGAAGTCACACACATCACACTAAGCAATTATATTTTGCTGGTTTATTGCACAAACTACAAGACATACAGCACTTACTATTAATGTTTAAACCTTACATCTTAGAAATGCAAAATCAAATCACGTCTTTACAACATATGCTCGAAATGGCTTCCCTGTTCAGCAATGCATACACGAACTCTTTTTACCATGTTTGAGGCCACTTTGTGCTGCACCTGTAAACTGATGCTGTTAATCGCCATCGTTCCTCTTGAGGTCATCCAATGTATGCGGATTGTTTTTATAGACAATTCGTTTGAGGTACCCCAAAAGAAAAAATATGTGGGTGACAAATTGGGGGAATGCGGGGGCCACAATCCTTTCAAAATGAGACGGTCATTGAGAAACACGCGCAAGAACTGCATGGTTTCATTAGAAGTGTGACATGTGGCACCGTCTTGATGCACCCAACACTCACGTTCATCAACTTCAAGAAGCGCAATAAACTGTGTAATGATGTCTTGGTACACTGGACTTTTCACTATTGTTTCAAAGAAAATTGGGCCTGCTATTCAATGACGTGATGCAGCACACCACACTCCAATTTTCTGACAGTGCAAGGGCTTTTCAGGTAACACATGTGGGTTTTCAGATAACCAAATCCTATTGTTTTGACTGTTCATGTAGCCACTAAGGTGAAACCACACTTCGTCAGTGAAGAAAACGCAATCAAACTCTTCAATTCCATGGTTGCCAACAAATGTCCGCAACTAAGCTAAGCTAACAATAAGCGCTTTTCTTTATCCAGGTCCTTCAGTTCCTGCACACAGCGAACATGATATGCACGAAGGTGTAACTTCTTCATCGCTTTCTGAGCACTTCCGTACGAAATCCCTGATTGCGCTGATAGTCTCCTCAGGCTTTTTGAAGGGGAACGCTGCAACATTTTCTCCATGTCAGCCAGTTTAATCTCAGTCAAAATGGCTGGTCTCCCAGATCTCTTCCTATCTGAAACTGATCCACATTCCCAAAATCGGTTGGTTATTCACGTTATCATCGAATTATTAGGAATCCGGATATTCCTGACGAAACTTGTCTGCGACATGTACATAAGAACAACTGGCAGAATAATGTTCCACAATGAAAACACTTTGTTCTTGGGAAAACGACATGTCCGTCACGCAGTAAACAAAGCTATACTGCAGATGTCATATGACCGATACACAACAGATGGTGTTTCTTCTCGTTAGTACTCCTACAGTACCATCTAGCAGTAGGAAATATAATTATATTAACTGCAATACAATTTATGACAATGTTTAGTTTGATGTGCGCGACTTTTCGATCTCCCTGTATTAACTTCTGTATTAATGGCAATTTTCACTTTTTATATTATAGAGATGAACAAATTGCAGTTTTATGCTGTTGCAGATTGTGATGATGTAGCTGTGGACTCTTCAGGCTCAAACATCGTTGAAGAAGGTACAAAATTATCTTAAATCTTTGTGTAGGACTCTGTGTATGAAGACAAAAGCTGTGGTACTAGTTTGTCCTCTGCCTTATGCTAAGGTCATAGCTGCTGTTTTTCTGTGATCTAATATCAGCATCTAAACCACTGAACAGATATTTTTAAAAATAGGATACGGGAGATTTCACTAGTTTGCATTCCATTATTTCTATTTTTAAGGAAGCTTTAACTTCAAAGAATCTCACTGGTAATTTTGTGTACTGTGTTATGAAGTGCATCCTCTCAGATCATTATAGGTTTTTACATCCATATGATGAACGCTTTATAATAATGGTACTTCTGTTAACAAATTTATACATTAATTACATCACCAAATTAACTCTTTATGGACTACTAATGTATCTTATGTCCATCCACTTTTCTGTTGTAGAGGATTACAAATACAGGTATCCCATGTTTCACAGATTTTTGCTGCAACTAAACATGTTAATTTGTACCTATTTTTCACTTGAAGAACTTTATTTTCACTATAATGAACAACTCAAGTTCTATGTAAGATCTGAGGTTTTCACAGCAGTGACTGTGAAGAATGCCGTCTTCTGGGATGCGGCTCTGTGTAGATATTTTTTTAACCGATGTTTCATAGGAACATATCGCCTCCATCTTCAGGGTATAAGAAATCCACAACTGGTGAACCAGCATGAGCACACCTCTGCAGCTGTAGTTACGTCTGTTATGCTGGTGGTATATATAAATCTGTAGATACACATAGACACAAGAACAGGCAGCATGCTTGATATTTTCTGCTAGCTCTTCTTTGACCCTGAAGGTGGAGGGAGTGCATTCCCTCTACCAGACTACATGGCATCAACCACATCTTCATTATCACTGCTGTGAGAACCAAACATCTCACAGTCTCTGTTTATGCACAAGAAAGCTGCAGCATTCAAGTACAGATTTTGTGGGATTTAATATTGGTGGCCTTCATTAAACGTATATTGATCAAATTTAGTTTGGGTTTATAGGGATAGTATAGTCTTTTGAACTCACGTGACCATCCATCCATTCATTAAATCTTGTGCTGAGATTCACATTGAATAATTAATACAGATCACCTACTACAGTGCAAAGCTTTATCTTCAAATTGCTGTGGCTGAACAAAATAATTTGACGAAATATTACTGAAATGGGGGGGGGGTGGAATGGAAGACCCAGAATATTAGCAACTAACAGATCAGTAGTGTTTACATACCTAGGAAAACTATACTGTAACTAGGATGATCTCCACATCCGCATGAGAGTGTACTCTCGACAGGATTTATGGAAGGTGAATAAATGAAATGAAATGAAATGCTTCAAACTTAAAATCTATTAATGTTGCTAACATCAATCTGTAAATCAGAATAATGTATCACCAGAGAGTGAAAAAGTGGAATGAAGGTGGTTGGTTATAATGTTCTGAATAAATTTTTTTAATGACTACAGCATCATGTTCTCTTCTGGATGTGCAACTGTTAACAGAAGCAGAGAAAGTTCAAACAGAAGCTGTTGGTTTACTGTGCTCCTATAGCTGTTGTCTCACAGGTCAGTAGTCCTCATGATACCACAGCTGGACATTAATGTAGAAAGTCTCTTTGGTAGAATGTTATATAATATGTGATTGTATCCAGTTTGCATATAAGGTAAAAACTGGATAAGTCACTTAACCTCCATTCATACTTCTTGGAATTGTTATCAGTAGTATGGCAGTAAAACTATATTTATTCATTTTTTAGTTACAAAATGTGTTTGTGACTAATACAGAAAACTTCAGTTAGGTAACAGATCAAACCCTTGATGAACTGCACCAAACTTATAAACTATATGTGTTAAGGAATAATTTTATGATAATTTAAGTAAGTTACGAAGTGCATCAAATTCTCTAAATTACATTCCATTCCAATACCATAGATTATTAGTAATCTTTGATCAGACAAAATTTTGATCCTAATATATGTTTCATATCTAATAATATATGAAGTATCTGACACAATTATGCTTCTCCTTGTGTACATAAGTCTGGCCTATATCACTTAACATAACACTCTTTTACATTCTCTGCTCTCTGATATGTATGCTTGTGCATGCCTTCAGCTTTTGAAACAGCAAGGCATCATTTTAACAGTTAAGTATCTGCTGTTCACAAAAGTCTCAATGCTAGATCATTGACTACAAGTTGTAAATTTATATTACTTTTCTCTTACAGGTAAAAAGTTAAGTAATCAAAGCATTGTCTCATTGACTCATTTGCTACAGTTATTACTGGAAGACAAGCAGCCAACTAGTTCACTTTGTTATTTTCAAATGGTAAATAGATTACTTATGACTTAATTCAATTCAATTCAATTTATTGAAACATTCCGTTGATCCTTAGTGGTGAAGTAATGACCAGTAGATGTGGAATTAGTCACAGACAAAACCAGACAAGTCGCATCACTTAACAAGATACGAATATAAATACATCCATGATTCATCTCCACAATAAAGTATCTCAGACATTGAAGAAAGTCGTCTTCTGGGATCTGGCACCGTGTATTCTTGGTTTTAACTGACGTCTCGGAGGAACATATCGCCTCCATCTTCAGGACAGGTGAATCGCGATGCGAATACAGAGAGCAGTAGCTGCAGTGATTTGGGAGTGAAGAGCATTAGTTTATATAGGAAGCAGGAGGGGGGGGGGGTNGTGTGGAGTTCTCTTGAGGGAAGAGATGAGAGGTTTCCATGACTTGTTGAGACAAAACCCTGTTTCCTTGTTCATGTTGTTCAGATGGAGCTCGATCTCCCATTGGTCCCCTCTCCCAAACACCCCCCCCTTCCTGCTTCCTATTTAAACTAGCGCCCTTCACTCCCGAATCATTGCAGCTACTGCTCTCTGTATTCGCATCACGATTCACATGCCCTGAAGATGGAGGCGATACGTTCCTCCGAAACGTCGGTTAAAACCAAGAATACACGGCGCCAGATCCCAGAGGACGACTTTCTTCATAATCATCGCTGTGAAAACCTCAAAACTTATATCTCAGACATTGTTCTAATATCTAAAAGCAGATTATTTATTAGGACATTACATCAATTATTACTTACAAACAATACCCAGACAACAAACAGGTCATAGATGCCTGCACACTTGATAACCAGGACGCAGATGGAAAGGTGTGTACATCGTATGGCAGCTATATGTTTAAAATGTTGAAACTAATGTACTGATAGTACTAAGATGTGATGAATATATATGAGCGGATTATAAGTATCATATAAAGTTTACTTAGTAGGGAATATAACCCAGGTGTTTAGTTTACTTTACAGTTAAAATATTAATCCAAGAAATAAAACGAATTGGAAAGAAGAAACTTTTTTAGCATCGGTTTGAATAGTTTCATTTCATTACTCGGACTTCTTATATGAGGTGGAAGATGATTATAAGCTCTGATACCAGAGCAGTAGGGTCCTTTTTGGAAAACTGTCAAACGTGATGTAGGAGAGTGCAAGTTTGTGCTATGTCTGGTACTGAAGCTATGAATCTCATGATTCGATTTGTACAGATCTTTATTTTTTACGACGAACAGTATTATCGAGTATATATATTGTGAATACATTGGCAATATGTTTAATTTTTTAAATAGATCCCTACAGGAGTCTCTAGTTTTTGCATTCATAATAATTCTAATTATCCGCTTTTGTATCCTAAAGACATTGATACTGTTAGGCATATTATCCCAGAAAATTATACCGTATTCCATAATAGAATGCACATAGAAATAAATCATCTTAAGGGTTTCTTGTGACATAAAACCTTTTGCTGTCCTAATAGCATAACAAGCTGAACTCATTTTAGTTACTAATTGGTCAATATGAAGTTTCCATGATAATGTTTCGTCAATGTGTAAACCAAGAAACTTAATGTTTGACGTGTTAGTAATATGCCTGTCTCCACAGCATATACTGATATTGGTTTCTAAACTATTTTTTGTCCTAAATGAAAGATAATGAGTTTTTTTTTTTAATTTAAAGATAACAAATTGGCTTTAAACCATTAATTTATGGCTACAAATTGTTTATTCATGTTAGTTTCAAATTCCGGAAGACTAGGATTAGACATTATGATGCTTGTGTCATCAGCATATAAAATGATATTTGCGTTGTTAGTTATTACGCTAGGAAGCTCATTTACATACAACAGGAAAATGAAGGACCAAGGATAGAGCCTTGTGGAACACCATGCTTTTTGATCTCCTACTTGGAGGAGGTACTGTTATGAGTTTTCCTGTCATCTAATACCACTTTCTGGTATCTATTGTTTAGGTATGATGTAATTAATGCTTTAAATATTCCTACTATCCCATAGTGTTTCAATTTTTTTAAAAGTATATCATGGTTGACACAGTCGAATGCTTTCTCTAGGTCACAATATACCACTGACGGTTAATTTATTATTCATGGCTAATAAGATTTCATTCAATAGTTTGAAAGAGGCCATATTAGTTGAAGAGTTTTTCCTAAAACGATATTGGTCGCTTGTAAGTATCTTATTTAGGGTTAAATGTTGGTAGAGCCTTGAGTATATTACCTTCTCGAAAACTCTGGAGAAGGCGGCTAGCAAACATATGGGTCTGTAATTAGAAATACTACGTTTATCACCACTTTTTAATACTGCTTTTTCTACTGAGTATTTCAGTCTAGTTGGAAAGATACCAAAGGAAAGGTTAATAATACACGTTAAAGGAGAGCTGATGAAAGGGGCACTTGCGTTCAATATTATAGCTGGTGTGTCATCATATCCATTTGAATGTTTGGCTTTTATGGATTTAATAATTTCTTCTATCTCACAAGTTGACATATGTCTAAATCTAATATTTTGGGGCGAGCCCTTGTATGTTTGTAACATATAATTTAGATAATTGTCATGTATTGGCTGACCTGTTGTACTATCTATGTTATTATCAACAATTGTTAAAAAATAGTCATTGAATTTATTTGCAAGAATTTGTTGGTTGGATATTGTATTACCTTAATATCCAGGTATCTGTATATCTTCTTTATTATCTTTTTTTCCTATTTCAGTTTTAATTATATTCCAGGTTTTCGTTTTATTTTTAAAGTTTAATATCCTCCTATCATAATATAGTTTTTTAGCCGTATTTATACTTATCACTTATACTGATCTTACTAGTTTTCACACTGGAAGTGATATTTTAATTAATTTGTAGGGAAGAAAATGAAAAACACTTTGAATTTGAAATATAGGGAAACACAATTAAGGAATTAAAAATTTAACATATGGTAGTAACTTTTGCCAAACTAGTGAACTTCTTTCAGTGCAACCTTCTTTTTTCTTCTTTCTTGTTGTCACAGGATGGATTATGTAGACTTTGAATGCAAGGAGTACAACTCAGTGCCCATATTGTGCAAAAAAATTTAAATAAGTTTATTGCTGAAAATGAGGTTCATGTCTTGATTTTGTTTCATGTTTTATCTCTCTGTCTAGGCCGTTGCTGTGACAAGAAGAGCTTTAAACTGTCAAGAACTCGAAGATGTTCATGTGGCTTTAATTCTGAAGGTTATCCAGACCTTGTGTAGAAAACATTATCTGGATCACGAAGCAGCTGTTATCATTCAACAGCTTCTTTGTGGTATGTGCCGTTATATAAACTGATATACTGAGGGTTTGAAAAGTAATTTCTTATTTTAAATTGATTTGTTAAAAGTGAAAGAAGAAATGAAAACAATTCTTTAAGTAGATTGATATTAGGCTGAAACACATTGTGAAATAAAGCAGAAAGAAATAGCATCGAAACGTAGCAGATTTTAATTGAATTGCATGAGGTTGGGTAAGAATCAGAACAGTTCTCACTGCTCTTTTTTTGTGTGTGTCCACATACAGGTCTACTTTGGGCTTACTAACTATCTCAGGTTGTTTTATTTATAAGGAGGTGAGGTTCGTTGTGGTCGGTAGAGCTGAGGATTTCTTTCTCAAAGCCTATAGCAGGCCTCAAGCACCGAGGGGCAGGAAATAAGCTCAATGCTACACATGCACATATATTAAGTTTAACTGTTTATTAACGTTTATTCCCTTTTTCTTACTCAATTACTGATTTCACTTATAAACTTGCTTAATTTTGAGTTTTTGTTTCTTTGAAGCACAACACTTTTTGCTTGTAGTGTTACTCTTTTAGAACTTACAGCTTTGGTTATTAATGCTTATAAGTACAGACAATAAATTTTCAACTGACCAATACAAGTTTTGCTTCTGAATTGTTCAATAGCTGGCGTGTAACTGACTTCGACGACTGACTTCTCTCCAAACCGTGAGGTCCTTGGTCCATCAGCTTCTTGGCTCTGTCACACCCCTAAATTCTAGTGACTGGACTTTTCTGAAATTAGGGAGTTCACTTTATTTCCCTGATTTCCAGTCAGCTCACTGTGACTTTGGATTTTAGCCCTTAAATACATAACGTAACTTTCGACAGGTCTTTGATGGATTCGAGCCTAAGTGTTGGTCTCTGGCCCTCCCCCTTAAGAATTGTGGTTTGCAGAAACTGCCAAGCTTCAAATTCTCAAAGATTACCGCAGTTACACTTTTGAGCTAAAATTATAAGAAAAATCCACAGGAGTTCTTTCTTGTTCTACTGCAAGTTTGAGAATAAGCTAATTCTTACATGCAAGAATAGGCCCATGTCTCGCTGACTTGTTCATAACATCCAACTGTGAAACAATTAAATTTCTAATTAATGAACGTAATTAAATTTAAATGGGTGCATGGCAGTGGTGCAGTTACACAGTAGTCAAGATTTAAGTTTATTTACTGCCTTTTACCTTATTGTAAAATTAAAATTAATTAAGAAATCATGCTACAAATTTAAAGTTTAATGAATCCTATAACATTGTTCAAACATTTTTCTAACTGTAATAATTACAGTTTGAGTAGATTTTCTCAAGAAGTAAGATGGTTTATTAGCAAAAGTAGCTTGAATTTTGCTTCCAATTTCATCAGTAGTCCCTCATCTTGATTTAGGGAGTTCTTTGGCCCAACCCAAAAAATCAGTTGGACGATGAATATTGCTCATACAGCAGCCACATTTTCTTCTTAATATGAAGATGGTTTCCCAGATATGTTAAGTTTTTACAGAGTCTTATTGCCATTAATTTCATACAAGAACTGTCAGCAACCTGATGGTCATGACAAGGTGGGAAGTGTGACAGGCTTTACAGAAAATAGTGCCGTAGGTTTACTGGTAAACCATCACTCTGTTGGACCTTCTCTTTGTTCATCCTTATATCTAGGTGTGTTCAGACATGTACAAGACAGAGCATCAAGAGAAAATTCAGTGGTGTTGTTAAAGGCTTTCCAGAAGAATGTGGATGTTAAGAAGAAATATGGCCCAGAAGTCAGCATTCAGTATATCAGATGTCTGGGTGAGCTGGCAATGGTATGTACATAATGTCATCATAGAAGATTTAATGGACCTAGATTATTGGCTGTGATATTTCACTTTAATGAGCTCTTACAACATTAAATTATGTCACAAAACAAAAGCTGTTTTGCAGACTTTTCTTACACACTTGTTTTTACAGGAAGGCAGTGAAACTTGCAAATGAATACTTAGGGAAGCTTAAGTGGAGGAAATTTAACACAGAAATTATTGACTTGGGCTCGTTAGAACAGAATATTAAAGAAGACAGAACCTTATATTGAGGGATATTAAATGTGGGTTGCACTGTATTGATTTATGAAATCAGAAATATGTCTGTTTTCATCATATGGAAAATAGTTGTAGGGAATTTTTAGGTATTTATTTTAGTCTATAATCTGCCACATTTCATATGCTTAACCAAAGTGGCTTATTAATTATTTTTGAGACTAAAATTGTGGAAAAGTAAGTATAGAAGTTGTGTGATAGTTGTATTATTTCACATTTGGTACGGTTTGTACCGAACATACTTACTGTTGGATTTGATTTTCTCATGGCAGTGACTGAAGATTGCTGTTTTCTGTAATATTATGCCTCATAGTCAGATAGATTGTTACCATTGTTTCAGAGAAGCCAGTAGCTTCTATTTTCAGGTAGAAGATCTTACTCTTCGGTGATACTACATGGCATCATACCCCAGGAGACAGTAATCTTAATATTTACCAGTTTGAATAATCTCATCTTGATGAAACTTCAAACCTCAGTGTTTCTGACAGTGTTTTGTAGCATTGGTTTAATATTTGTAAACAACAGCAAGAGTAATGTTGCAGGTTGATCCCAATTTCGTGTGGGCTACATGGGAGTCTGGAACACTAGTTGATGATAGTGACATTGTAGGTCAAAAAACACCAATTGCAGAGGAAGTGCTAATTCATATGAGGAGCCCATTCCATGAAATGAGGATGACAGCAGTGAACTACGTTGTTACACTCTTCACCCCACAAAATGGCATGAGCCTTAATGCTGATCGTCTTGCGTGGCAAAATAGAATGTTTGAAAAACTGCGAAATATCGTTATGTCATCCTTTATTGTTGAGGTACAGTGTGACTATGATAATTTTTTAATTTTATTCTTATTTGACAGTTTATTGGTTCTGTTACAGTGATGTATATATACAGTATAACCACTAACAAGTGGTAGTGTCAAACAGATGTGTGTTTTTTTGGGGGGGCCTCTTCTACCAGTATGTACAGTAATCCCTTGCTAATCCAGATTGAAATAATAAAAATGAAAGGTTCTGTTCACATTTGAGTACATACTTTAAAAGACACGTGGGATTTGGGAACAAGAGAGATTAGAGTGAGATGACTTTCAGACTCTGTTGAGAATGGCTGGAAAATGCATGAAAATATCCAAGATTGGCTTCAGCTGAATGAATGTGACTCTGGATTTCAGCTTCTGGCAGAAGAAGAAATTGCTGCAGTGATTTATTTTTATTTATTTTCATCAGCACTACCTATATTATTCAGTTCTTGATTTATTTGTTTCCTAAGTTTGTTTCTTTTGCATCCTTAATCCAGATGATCTCTCACCCCAATCAATCTGGATTAGTGAGATTATATTTCAGCATCCCGTTGCATTGAGGTATTATCCTTATTATTAAAACATCCATCAATAATGTAACTATTTTTTTAAATATGAAAGCCATCTAAAATATGTTTCTCACTAAAAGTGCAACGGTAATACTTTATGATGTTAAAATCATAAAATGTCATTAAGACTCTAGAAATATAACTCATACACTAAAAATGATCATCAAAGTACTAAAATGTCTTTAGTTTTACATATTGTGACATGTCTAACCATTGCTGGGCAGCGGGAGGTGGAACAAGTTACCACGAAGACAGACCCTTGATAAATGGTTGCCTGCCAAGTTATGCAACAGCGGAAACGAGGTTACGCAACAGTAAGGAAAGCGGTGTTTCTCAGTGCTGTGATGAGTAGAGCCAAAGTGTGCTGGTTGCTACACAACAATAAACAACTCTCGGCAGCGTTGCCCAGCCACGCCTTTGTAAACATGGCGTCTCGCGACAAGGGAGCCCTTGCAACGACTTTTGCTAGGCAATTGGTAAACATGATGTTACACAACAGTGGTACCTGTCATGTAACTGTTTTCTGTGTTGTCCGTGGCGAGCCGAAATAAAGAGCAGTGAACACTATTCAGTAGCGAGTGAGTATTGAGTAACCAGTGAGTTGCAATCTATCAGTTACCAAGTCAGGTTGTATCAAGTGCATGGCACTGACTACACCATGAGAAGTAAGTGTGATACTACCGATGGCAGTAGTTGAGAAGTTGTGAATTGTGTAATTGTAAGAGCAAGTGGAATAATTTTGCTTGATCCAAGACAACGTGAAGTTATTTGTCATGTGTCACATACCCAACATGTGACAGTATGTTTCTTCTCACTTTACAACATGTTTCGGTCTCACATGGGCCATGGGATGCTTTAATAATAAGGATAATGGATTAGTGAGGGTTTACTTTACTGCACTTTACATACTACATCTCAGTTTGTGATAGCTAATACAGTATGTTTTGAGAAATACACTAAACCCTAAGTCTAAAGGGTTTTTAATCCTATGTAATATAGCATTGGTGACTGGATTTTTACTTTGGGAGGGTGGGAGTTGAACTGGCAATGATATTAGTCTTAAAGAAACATTTATATCTTTTGACATATGTCTGCTAAAATATTCTAGTAAAAAGTGTTTGAAAGAAAATACATTTCAGAATTCTGTAATGCTAGTATTTAATATTGTGATGCATTGCGCTATGGAGGACATCCCCTCCGATGCCAGCGGTGACATGGTGGCATCGGTGCACTGCCTACTGTGATGTAACACACGACACTGCTGTTGACACAGGCAACAGCGAACGGTATAAAAAGCCGGCTGAGCAGTATGTGAGCCAGTGTGTGATCAGAAGTGACACCGTACAGATCGTGAAGTCACCGAGTGCAGCTAAAATGCCACAGCTGCCGAAGGCAGTTGAAATATAGCCACCGCCGGAGACAGTTGAGTTTCAATATAGCAGTTGCCGAGTTCAGTGATTATTGGGTATAGAGCCAGTTACTAGTGAATGAGTTACTAGAAAGAGAGTAACCAGTCAATTGCTGTCTATCTTTCGCCGGAGTATTTGTGATACTGCCAATGGCAGTAATGTTGAGATTGTAAATTGTGTGATTGTAAGAGCGAGTGGAATAAATTCGCTATATCAAAGAAGGCGTGAAGTTATTTGTTGCGTGACATATACCCAACATGTGACAATATTATAAAAATTGTTTCAAAAAACTTCAAGGATTCTGAAAAAGTAAAATTGTGTAGAGATCCAAATATACTCATACAACACATTTCTAGAAATGTTTTATTTCCCACATTGTGACCAAACTCTTATTTAGAAAAGGTGGAACCCTTGTTTAATGTATCTCGTTTTAGGGTCTTCCAACATTGTTTCAGCAATCCCACATCACTAATCTGTGTTAAAATTCATAGCTAATATCTGTCATTAATGTTGCTTTAAATGTATTGTTTTCTTCAACACACAGGGTGATTTAACGATGGAGGAGAAGGTTGATGAAAGTGCAAACCGAACTGCTAGCGCATTGCATTGTTTTGCTGCACTGATTGTTGTGAGTCCATTGTTCCGCAAGAAAGCGTTGTTTACCATACTGCAGCTTGTGAAGGAGAAGAATTTAAATTCTGGTGAGAGATATGATCATGTTGCAGTCTTCTGAGTCTAATGGTATTTGTGTTTTTGAGCCATTCTTGTTCTGTTCAAGGGATAAATCAAGATAGAATCACCTTGATAAAGACTTCATAGAATAAAGTTCTGTTGTCCAGATTTGTGTATAATAAGGAAAGCTGTAGTTTCCATTGAGATGCTGTTTATGTACAGTCCTTTTTCTTCAAAGAAGTACATAGTCTAGTAATAAAATACCTATATGTTATGAAACGTTAACTTCTTTATGAGTGTAGTTTGCCTGGTAGTTAAGATTCTTGAAATATAATGCTGTTGACCCAGGATCAGTATTATTATGGGCATATACATCTTTGTGTCAGTGATACTGGCTAGAACAGCAGAGACATATTAAGACTACAATTTTCTGTGATTTAATGACATGTAGTTTGATGGATTGTTTCCAGTGTTCACTATGAACATACTGCCTCCTTATTTTGAAGATGGAGGCAGTATGTTCTTCACCATAATTGTAACTATCTACCACACTATGCATCCTTCCAGTTAAATGTGGAGTTCCTCAAGGTCCTGTTCTTGGTCCATTCCTTTTCATTTTCTATGTAAATAATGTACCGCATCTAACAAAAGGAAGAACAGTAGTATATGCCAATGATACTTCAATACTGAATATAGGACAAGATATAAATTAACTCCAAAAAACAGTCTCAGAAAATACAGGCTTAGTAGAACAATATTTTGAAACAAATCATTTGTCTGTAAATCCAAGCAAAGCACACTATATTCTCTTCCAGATGAAGCAGTACAGGCAGGAAAGTGAATTAAAAATCTTAATGAAGAATAGGGAAATAGTTCACTGATATATTGGGTTTTTGGACTTTATCCATCGTCCTGGTTTTTAAGATACTAATAAAAACACTACGTTTCGGAAACTGGATCTGTTTCCATCCTCAGGTGAAGGAAAACACCTATTCTGTTGGGTCCATTAGAAAGAGCTAGCCTCAATCACTGGACCCAACTGGAGCCAACTCCGGTTGCTGCTTGCGACCTATATATGTGACTTTCGAACGTTAAAGGTTAAAAAGGAATTGAAGACCTACTTAGTAAGAGATGCTATTATTCAGCACAAAAAAGTAAAGCATGGAGGCCCATAGGGTCGTTAGATGTTGAGGCACCCACATTTTCTAGACAGTCACCTCACAGATGGCAGTGAGGTTGTCAGCCTTAAGTGCCAGCTAACCTCAACCCCCAGGAAGATTCCTGGTACCCATTTCTGTTAGGGGCTAGTTTGATAATGATATAGGTGGGCATGTCCTACATCAATGTAGTATTAGTAGTATTTGTACTAGTAGTAGTATTTGATCTATGGGATAAAATTAAAATTAATGAATGAATTATTGTGTGAGTGTGAGGAGGAGTCATGTGAGGGAAGAGGGGAAAATTATGTTCTATTTATGTGATTTTACCCTCTTTTGTGTTATTTTGGAATGCATCTATCATGTAAATCAAGGAGTACCTGTACTTATCCTAGTGAAGTGTATATTTGGTCTCAACTTTAGAGAGTTCTTTGAAATGTAAACATATTTCCTGTTACTCTTCAGTTGTTTGTAAACAGCTTAAGTGAAACAGGATTTCAAATAAAATAGTGTTGCCCTTGACTTTGATGTCCTGGGATGAAAACAAGTTTGTTATGGTTCACTGACACAGTACCAATTCTGTGATGGTATGCTCCCAGGCATGGGAATGTGTTTAGATAGAAAATATAACTTGTATTGAATTTTTTATGTTGTTACTGGTGGCAACATATGAGAGAGAGAGTCAGTAAATAGGTCACAAATAGATATAAAATGTAAAACATGTGATATTCGAACCTGGAAACAACATTTATTTCTTGACATATCCTCCACCAACATTGTTTCACTTGTCACATCACTTTACCAATGTGTTGAAACTCGCAGCGTAGAAGTCTTTTGACTGTTATTGCTTCTGTTGCAGTCTAAATTGGGCTACCTGATCAGGCATCACTGCGACTTTCGAAAGTCCTTGAGAAAATTCTTGAACCTGTTGTGAGCCGTTTTATGCAACAAACACTTCCAACCTTAGAAAGGAAACATTATTTATGGATATCATTTGCATCGATTGCGTTGGCCACCAAAAACACACAACAGAATTATGTTCTTTGGTAGTATGCTTCTCAAGCACAGTCACCATTTTTTACTTTTCATTCATTCATTTATTTTACATTCCATGGATCCACAGTACAACAGGTAGCATATGGAACACGTCAAGTGGTACATATATAAAAGAAAAATAAGCCAAAAAATAGAATAAAATAAAATGATGACAGAAATATAAAAAGTTCTATTACTAATAGTTTTAAAACTTGGTGGCAATAAACATAATTTCTTAAACTATATATAAATTCTTCGGTATGTCATTGACTTGCAGTAGCCTTAAATTGAAGATATTCATCAATGGAATAAAAATAATGTGTATAAAGAAAATGTTTTAGACAGGCTTCAGATTTCCTTGGATTATGAGATATATCTTTAATATGTGGAGGAAGATTGTTAAATACCCTAATACCCATACAGTACACTCCCTTTTGGTAAACTGTAAAATTTACTGTAGGCAGATAAAAATTATTTGATTGTCTTGTACCTGTATTATGCTTTTCTGAATTTAAAATAAAGAGATCCTTGTTATTGACCACAAACAACATGAGTGAAAAAATATATTGTGATGCAAGAGACAAAATTTCCAACTTCCTAAACAAATTCTTGCATGAAGCCCTGCTCCTACAGCCCATCATAATTCTTATTATTCTTTTTTGCATTCTAAATATTTTAAAACTGTGGGGCAAATTTCCCCAGAACATTAAGCCATAGCTTATGATCGAATTAAAATATGAATAATAAATAATTTTTAGAACATTGAAAGACATATATGACTTAATACTCCTCATAATACAGGGTGGGGCGCAGAAACTTCCTTTTTGTGAAGACTCATTGTGAAGGGAGGGGAGGTTGCAGAAAAGTGGGGATAGGCTTGGCGAATGCAGCAGTCGCGGAAGTTTCTGTCTAATACCCCTCAGTAGGAAACATGAGGTGGACGAGTAAGCAGTGTGCGTTTGCTGTCGAAGCCTATTCTTTGAACAACCATTCCTACGTGGTGGTGCAGCATGCGTTCCGTACTCACTTCGGAATTAAGCCCAGAGGTCCGGTTCCAGACCGGAAGTCGATTGTTTTGTAGGTAGAGAACTTTAGGACAACAGGGAGTGTGGTGAAAAAATCATCTGGATGACAATGGGCCGTTATGATGCCAGAAAATGTGGAGGCAGTTCGACAGCCAATTTTGAGATCTTTTTCGAACCAGCTCTTGAAGAAATGCATATAGGAAATGTCTGGTACCAACAGGATGGTGCCACAGCCCACACAGCCTGAGCTTCGTTGACAGTTGTGAGGGCAAAGTTCCCCGGACAGCTCATCTCGCTTCGAGGTGACATCCTGTGGGCAGCACACTCACCTGATCTAATGCCCTGTGATTTTTTTTTATGGGGATACCTCAAGGCAGAGGTTTTTAAACATCACCCCACAAACCTGCTTCAGCTGAAGAATGTTATTCGGCAGGAAGTAGCCCAAATTCCAGTGCACATGTTGGAACGTGCAGAGGGGAACTTCAGAAAACGGTTGCATCAGTGCACAGAGAATGGTGGCCACCACCTTCAAGATATTTTGTTTAAAACTACATGATTTAAAACTTTAAAGTATGTTCTTTCATTAGCTAAACATAAATTTTGTTTATCAGCAATAATTTTTCTTTTATTTTCCTTCAAAAAAAAAAAGGAAGTTTCTGCCCCCCACTCTGTATAACATACTGAACTCAGGTTTGGGATAATACATTCAGTATGACCTCTCCAGTTCAATGAATCATTTATATTTATGCAAAGGGTCCTAATATTAGACACAGCTGTTACTGGTTGATTGTTATAAACAATATTTACATCAATTGTGGATTTATTTTTAGTTTTAAAATGAATACATTGAGTTTTGTTAACATTTATTGAAAGTAAATTTGTCTTGAACCATTTATTTACACAAGTGAAGGTGTTAGACATCTTATTTCGAAAGTCCCCTAATCTAGAACCTTTGACTAATATGCTTGTATCATCAGCAAACAAAATATGTATAGCATTACCATCTACAATTTTGGCCAAATCATTAATATAAATAAGGAACAACAAAGGGCCCAGAACTGATCCCAGGGGAACACCATCAGTTATCTTTTCCCATGTAGAAAGATTTGTTAGATTTGATTCCTCATTAGAAACCTGAGTTCTCTGATATCTGTTATTAAGATATGATTCAAACCATAACTTAGCTTTGCCACTAACACCATAAAATTGTAATTTAGAGATCAATATATCATGGTTTAAACAATCAAATGCTTTTTCAAGATCAAAAAAAAATACCACCTACTAGAGATTTACTATTTAAAGCTTGCAGGGTTTCATTAACTAACTTATATATGGCTTTGTTTGTTGATGAATCTGCTCTAAACCCAAACTGGTCTTCTGCTAAAATACTGTGATTACACAAGTGCACCTGAAGTCGATTATACATAATTTTTTAAAAAATTTAGAGAAGGAACTTAACATAGATATGGGTCTGTAGTTGGAAATACAAGATCTATCACCTTTCTTAAACAAAGGTTTAACTACTGCATATTTCATACAATCTGGAAAAATTCCTAAAGATATCGATTTATTACAAATATAAGTTAAAGGTGAGCTAATAAAAGAAGAGCTTACTTTTAGTATCTTAGTAGATATTCCATCATACCCAGAGGAATTTTTGGGTTTAAAAGATTTTATTATATTTTCAACTTCTTTAGACGATGCAAATTTTAGTTTGATGTTTGGAAACGGAGTCTTAAAAGACTGTGATAAGTAATGAGGAAGAGTAACATTATCTGGGTTATGAAAGCTAAGTTTGTCATGTTTATTAATATTTTTAGCTATAGATGAAAAATATTTATTAAACTCATTTGCTATCACTTGGTGGTTATTGACCAGAGTCCCTTCAATATTTAAAGTAATAGTCTTATCAGTATTTCTTGTTTTATTAGTTTCTAATTTAACTATATCCCAGATGGTTTTATTCTTGTTCAGGGATTAGCTAATTTTGTCTGCATAATTAAGTTTTTCTGCTTCCTTGATGACAGCAGATAAAATTTTACAATATTTTTTATAGTAGTTTAAGAGATCTAGATTATTACTGTCCCTACATGCTATGAAAAGTTCTCTTTTATGTTTACTACTGAAACCAACCTCTGAATATGCACATCTGCTACCTAGACTGTCATGAAGCTGAACTGTGCTGCTACCTAGCGATACACATGGAAAACCTATTACATCCATTACAGCGGTTTTACTCCCATTTGTGACCTATATACTGACTCTCCCTCATATAATATACAGGGTGTCCCAGGAGGAATGGACCAAACTTCGGGAGGGTGTTCCTTATATTAAAGTATGCCGATATAACCCAAAACACCTATGTCCAAAGTTGAACGGTTACGGAGATAATGGCCAGAGAAGTGTCAAACTTTGACCGGCGTTGTACACTTGTTGATTACAAAATATATATTAAAACTGGCAGGAATATGTGGATTCTGTAATGTTAATAATGTACGTAACATCAAACTAACTTGTGAGTGACATGAAGCCATAAAATTGAAGTACAAAATACTCGCTCGCCATGTCATAATTGTCCTTAGGGTTTCCAAGCACTATACATGACACATGAATGGCAAGCGCTGACGTAACGTGCTGACTGCGCGTTCTGATAAAGCCAACTACATAAGCACGGCTAGGGTGTATCACTGCACTCAAGGACAAACACAGATAAGGCCTCTCAGCTGAGAGGTACAGTGCGTGGACCTGCCAGAAGACCACAGTTTTCTTGGGCCATTATCTCTGAAACCGTTCAACTTTGGACATAGGTGTTTTGGGTTATATCGGCATACTTTAACATAAGGAACACCCTCCCGAAGTTTGGTCCATTCCTCCTGGGACACTCTGTATAATAGGTCATACCACAGGATGAGAGAGAGAGTAGTAATTCTGTACATAATTCATTTATGTGAAGTAATTTGTGTATCTGAACTTTTCATTTTTTCCAGAGTTGGTTCACAAGGTACTTGTGCTTGTGGGGAAAAGCTTGAAGTTACCTGATGTAATAAAATTAATGGAGAGTAACCTAAGTTACATGTTAGTACATTGGATACAACAACAGTATGCACTTCAGGTACCAGGTTGCATATATTTTCAGTTTTTTATGCATTTCAAATGCTGGGTTATGAACTTATTCTGATGATCCACATTTTAAGACATACAGTATAGTATCTTTGAATTAAATGATAGTGTAGATTACCTGATAGCAAACTAACAAGGTTTACTCTGTAATTGGCATAATCACTATGTAGTGCCTAACACTACATTGCATTATACTTTAATTGGGAAGTGCTTATAAGTCATAGTGTTTGGCAGAGTTTTCCTTATACAGTGGAACCTCGCTTAACGAGCATAATTCGTTCCAGAATCTTACTTGTAATGCGAAACACTCGTTAAGTGAAACAATTTTTCCCGTATAAATTAATGTCAAATACGATAGTGCATTCCATGCCAGAAAAAATACTCAAAATATTTTATGTATGCATTGTTAAGGAGCGTGAATCATCTTCATCTTTTCTTCTATGCAGAATGAACCAACCTGGAATGCGAATTCGATTTGCAGAAAACAAAAAAAAAATGGAAACAATTAGTTTATTATTTATGATACATATCTAATTCTTTTTTACTAGAAAGGAGCAACCTTCAACATCTCCTAGAATACGTAACCATTGCGTAGATATTCTTGTCACTCCCTTTGAAGCATCAATCTCTTTAATCTTGTCCTTGTTTTTGAGGATAGTGCAAATCGTTGATGTAGACCGATTGTATGTGCGTGCTAGATCAGCCACGCTCACACCTCGTTCTTGCTTTTCAGTGATTTTACGTTTCATTTCTACGGTTATTTTTATTCTCTTATGGCTGTCTTTTTGCAGCTTTTTTTTCGGGGACATTTTTGCAAGAGTTATTAAACTTTGCACAAAAAAATCACAAATAATATGTCTGAACACAAGTTTGGAAAAATGTGCGATCACAAGCGACACTAAGATGCTAGCGGAACGAGTGCTAAACACAGACTGATGTAGCAAGTGCACAATCCGGGACTTCCCCTCTCGTCAGTCGTTATGCGAAATGTCGCTTGTTAAGTGAGTCTTTTTTTTACAATTTGTTTTGCTCGTTTTGCGAATTACTCGTTATGAGAGGTGTTCGTTAAGCGAGGTTCCGCTGTATACTGAGTTAGGATCATGCAGTCATTGAAGTGTTTGGCTATGGGCTTGTGGCTAAGGTTTTAATTCCAGCAGGGGCAGGAATTTTTCTGCAGAACTACCATACATCTCTGGCGAATAGGGATTGGAGTATGCAGGTGACAACTAACTGTCATTAAGTGCTTAGGCTAAGAATGCATGGAGTTTTACCTCAGTAATAGGGATTGGAGTGTGCAGGTGACAACTAACTGTCATTAAGTGCTTAGGCTAAGAATGCATGGAGTTTTACCTCAGTAATAGGGATTGGAGTGTGCAGGTGACAACTAACTGTCATTAAGTGCTTAGGCTAAGAATGCATGGAGTTTTACCTCAGTAATAGGGATTGGAGTGTGCAGGTGACAACTAACTGTCATTAAGTGCTTAGGCTAAGAATGCGTGGAGTCTTACCTCAAATTTCTGTCCCATATGGTATCATGTTTTGGCACAGACAACTTTATTTTTTAATGTTAATTACATTAAAATGACTGTGTGAAATAAGCAGAGATAGTGACCATCTTTTTTATTAAAACCGTCACAACACAACTATATCAATGTCAGTGCCTAGTTTTGGCTCTGCTACATGTTTTGTCTATTAATAGCCATCATCAGGCAAATACATGGCTAACATCTATGCACCACTGAACTGCAGTATTAATAAAATTGGATACAGTAATATTAATATATTAAAATACAATAAATTAGATATATAAAAATACCACGTTATAGTATAAAACACGAATAAAATTGAAGAAAGCAGTCTTCTGGATTTGGCACCGTGTATATGTGCCAAATCCCAGAAGACTGCTTTCTTCATAGTCACCACTGTGAAAGCCTCAAATCTTACGAATAAAATTCTTCGATTGATGCTTTACATCATCGAGTCAGTCGTTGGTTTTTGTGATTTTGTTGTGTTCCTATGGACAAATTGGAGTATTCTATATTTTGTATGTATATAAAAAACTGTTATTGGAGGCTCGTGATGTAGATGTAGTAATATAAATGTTAATTATATAGTCGGTGCCTCATCTTACCAAGTATTGTCCGTTCTGTAGGGAATGTAAACATGTAGTGACCATCATAGAAAAGTCAGCCATCAGCATGTTGTTAACCAGCAAGGTGTATATATTCTGTGTTCTGATTTCTCCCGCAGTGGGACATTTAAATTTGTTACTGTGGCATTTCATTTTATAATTGTTGCTCACTTTTTAAAATTCAGTGTCTCAACCATATATCATTATAAAAATATGAAACAAGAAATCGCTGAAAGACCAATTATCATGGTGCATATACCTATATTTTCATTTATATAGCAGTTACATTAAAGTTTATATATATATATCTTTTAGTAGAATTCTGTACCTTTGGCTTTATTCTCAGAAAGTATGTCAGTTCCCAGCATGTGATCACAAAGGTATGTCTGACTCATGCATATTCTCTATATGCAGTCCTGACTGGCATCTGGTGTTTAGAAATTAAACATGGTCACAGAAGCTAACTGACAAAACTACCTCCAGCCTAAACACATGCTCACATGTTTGATTATTGTGACATTTCACTGTGACCTACTACAGCTCTGTCTGGCTCATTGATAACAGTTGTGCCTTACTGCCATGTGTGCTGAATTTGTACTCCCTTCACAAATTCAAGCCTACTGTGGATGAATGAACTGTGCAACAAAAGCTATTTGTTCTTCCAAATATCAACTGCAAAATCATTATCTTCTACAGATTTTGAACTGATTCTGTCTCCCTCTTCCATCCAGTCTCCGAAACGTTTTTTGAAAAATAAACAGGACAGTTTTTAGATAAAGACAAGACGATGGATAATGTCCAAAAACATAATATTTTTACTAATGTACCATCATCACAAACCTACCGAACGGATCCAAAAATATGGGTGTTTCAAGATTTTCTTCCAGGAAAATAGCTCTTTGTTATCCAGTTTCTGGTGAAGTCCTTGTAACTGAAAGAATTCTGGCAATATCATTATTGAACTTCTCTTTGTTTCCTTCCAGTGATGGGTCCTAGATCTTAGTTTTAGATTAAGTGTGTTTTCTAAAAATTTTTGAACCTACCAAATTCTTTCTCTGGTTATTACTTCCATAATTTCTGATGTACAAAACAACTCAAAATAATCCTGGAAATTCCTGGGGTCTTTCAACAGTTATGCCAGGCTTGCCAGTAACTGGAAAATGTGGTCACTCAGCACTGAATTTGCCCATATGCCATTGTGCATGCTACTGTTGTCACTGACATTTTCTTCTTCGTCAGAGCTGTCACTTTATTCACCATATGACAAAATTTTCACATTTATTTCACTATCACTACTATATTTTCTCTCAGAAATATCACTATATTAATTCCCTTCAAACAGTTCTTATAACACCTCACCACACACACACACACACATACATACATACATCAGCGTTTCAGAGTATTCATAAGTGTGCAACCAGCACTGAATATAAAACTTGTCAAACAACAGTCACAAGACAATCACAGATAAAATCGCTGAGACATCAATTCAACCATACTTAAAATCTAAACTGAATACCTCAATTAAATACGAGTAGATACAATGTTACGCATACAATTATACCAACAAGATAATTAGCAATACATAATAATTCTCCTTCCTTAACTTACACTTACACTTAATGTCTATATTGATGCCTACCGTGGGACATCCATCAGTCAGCATGCACTCCCCTTCTATTCCTTAGCTGTTGATCCCAACAGAAGAGCAAAAATTCATCAACAGTATATGACAGATTATGTATTAGGACATCTCTTAGTCCTTTTATAAACTGTTTTTATCATGTACTAAGTTAGATAAATATCCGGGCAGATTGTTAAATATTTTTATACTCATGCAGTGGACCCCTTTCTGCCTCATTGCGAGACATGTAAATTTCTTTCATGTCTTGTCAGTCTCTCATAAACTGAATAATTAAAAGTAAAATATTCCAAGTTATTTATCATAAAAGTCATCAGAGATAAAATATATTGAGACACCAGTGTTAATATATTTAACTTTATACATGCTGGCCTACATGACTCTCTATGTTTCATCCCCATTATTATTCTAATAGTCTTCTTTTGTAGGAGACATTTCTTCTTGGCCTCTGATGAATTACCCCAAAAAACTATTCCATATCTCGTGAGCGAATGAAAGTATGCTTGATATATCATTTTAAGTGCTGTAACATTACTATATGTTTTCATAATTCGTATTGCATAACATGCCTTTCCCAATCTGGGTAACAATGATACAACTTGTGTCTTCCAATTCAAGAACTTATCAATTTCAATGCCCAAAAATTTAATATGAGTTTCCCCTTTTAATAATTCATCGTTAAACTTTAAATGTACACGCATATTGTCACGATTGATTGTTTCAAATTTTAACACTTTAGTTTTCCTCAAGTTTAGGGATAAGCTAGCTTGTTGCTAGGACCTGCCATTATGTTTGATTGCAGAAACTCAAACCCAGGACAGCTATCAAGCAATCAGCTACTTCCTGTCACACTCTGAAGTAACTAGAAGACCTAACAAGCACAATGTACAAATCTGGTTTGCTGTCAAATCTGTAACAGTGTAATTGGAAATGTGTGACATGTACAGACATCATACCCGCTTAACTTGTTAAAATTGCTTTTGTGCCCACTGAGGACTTAGGGAAGCTAGTATGCAAACAGATGGAATGGTGCATTGAGAATAATCTTGACTATACCATTCCTACTTTCAAGTAATAATATAAGATTAGATTATTAAATAATATGAAATTTAAAAGCTTAGATATGTGCAACTGGATTGCCATTGCAGGTTGATAGTACACTTATTTTACGGAAGAAAATTCAGTAGTTTTAATTTTCTGTATAACAGTCTCCAGTGAATTTTACTTGCATTAAGAACTGTTGTTTGATTTTCATGATATGAAGTAAGTGATAGAAGGATTCTCACCAAACTGCACCAATTTAATGTATTTCTGTTAACTCTTCATGATTTAGGACTTCCTGGTAAGATTACTCACTTTATTGCTTTTAGTTTTGTGATGACAGTAGTTAAGTAATAACTGTTTTCAGCAAATATTAAAGCATTATTTCTTTCAGACATAATGACCTTTTCACATAATTCTGTTTCATTTAGTTTTTATTAACTTAAGTGAACAAGTTTAGAGGCTGCTTACTGCTTTTATGACAGTTTTCCATTCCATTGTAATATCAGTTTCTAAGGTGTACAGAAGTTACATAATCTGAATTCACTCATTCAAAGCAGATTACTTAGATGCAGTACATTTCAGAAATGTGGTGAATTTAAAAGGACTGAGAGTAAATTTCCACAAATGCTTTTGTTGTGTGTGCTATTTATTACTATTTCTGTTAACAGGATTTCCCATTGGTACTTTTGAATTGCGAGTCAGATACTGAATTTTTCACCAAATATGAAGAGATGATTGTTCCCATTTTGCTGCAAAGGGAAGAGAATGAATCTTTGGAGCTCATATCTGTTAAAGTTGGCAAGACAATGGCTGACTTAATGAAGACATGTTATCCTCGTATTATTGCTGGTCTGGTGCCATGTTTTGCTGCTGATTTATCTGATGGTCTGGTAGACAGGGAAATGCAAGTTGCCAATCGTCTACATTCCAAGTTAGAACAGATTCTTTCCAAAGACACAATAACTTACCTCCTAAACTGTCAACTGGATATGGTTATTGTCAGTATAATGAGACTGCTTTTTGACCCACAACACTTTGGTGAGCTCTGTGGAGTTGCCAGAGAGTCCTCATATGATCCAGATCCACCTTACTTCAATATTTGCACAATTAAAAAAAGCCTTCTATATCTGCAGGTAAGCTGAACTGTTTTCATGGTCCCATGTGTTTATGTAACCAAGTAATCCCAGGAACACAGGCTTTCTATTGAAATGTTGATAGTTACTTAGCCAGTGCAGAAATTTCCTGCTTTTATGGAATCTGAAGGTTCATTAGCAAGTTCACAAAAGTACACCATTGGAGAATACCCTGGATTAATTGAATCCAGTCTGCACTTCCATACAGTATTTTTCCAAAATTTTCTTCCACTTATATATAAGTTTCCAAGTTGTCTTCTCTGTTTATGTTTTTCGCTCAACATTTTGTACATATTCCTTATGTCTGCCTCCCTAATAGTATTTGATGAAGAGTATAAATTGTGATATATTTTTTAAGATTACATAACATGCTGTTTTTTTTTATAGTGAGAAGTCATTTGTTAGTTAATAAGCTAATTATTTGAGCAATAAGAAGAACTGTAGGTTACATTGATTTTTAATTGTGTAGATAACTTTGTATTAATTTTTCTGTGGGTTTGAAATTTCTTGAAATGATAAGACTGACATCAGCTTTTTTCAGAGTAGATTGAAATAGCTGGTCAGGTAATTATCCCCTACCTCATAACCTAGCTATATTTTATTACTTGAAAGCCTTAAAGAATTGTAACGGAATGTATTTATTTTCTTTCTTCACAGGAGAATTCTCCAAAACCAGAGCTCTCTCTTGTTGCATACTTGTGTAAAGAAAGTTCAGATCACATACAGAAGGTGCTCCTGTGCCTTGCTATAGATATTCACCAAGCACCAACACTTGAAGATAAACTGAACTGTCTCCATCATTATGCTACATTTGCCCATATCCTGGTTGAAGAACTGGGTGTCAATGGGGATGGGCTAGGTGACATGGCCACATTTGTTATTAGAGATGTTTCACATACTCTTATTTATCTAACAAAACAAAGTTACCAAAAGGACGAAATTCCATTGGCTGTTGCATCATGTCACTTCTACAGACTTTTTTGCAGTAAATGCTTCCCAATGTGTGCCTCAGTTGTACAAACATTCCTTATAGTGATTGTGAGTATTCTTGTGCCCCTTGCCAAGTTGAATGATAATTTGGGTGCAGAGAGTCGAGCACTGCTCAGGTTTCTTATTCTTGAGAACAGTGAGCACTTGTCTTCGGCCATTGAGATGTTGGACCCATTCCCAGAGAGTTCCATATTTGAAGAAATGCGTGAGGTATATGCCAGAATAGTACAAAAGAAGAGGTTTGATACCCTTGAGGAGAGTATTAGGCATTTCCTGAATGCTGGAAATAAGAATCTTGGCTGCAGAGCTGAAGGTCTGAAACATCTGAGAACTCAGGTATTGTTAGTTAACGTATTTATTAATTGTATTAACTCCACTTATGCCTCTTTGCATCATTATATAAGGCATTTAGAAAAACATATGTTCCTTCAGTGTTTTTGTCATTCCAATATTGAAATTTTAAAATAAGTGAATTGGGATTGAGTTTTGTATGCATGTTGAAGACAGATGAAGTGGTGATTATATATAGTTAATTATGTTCTATACTATTGCCATGGGATTCACTGAGGTGGTTATAAAAGTTGCAATTAATATCTGAATTCAGGTCCGTGTATTTTGGCAAGAATGGTAGTAGGTGGCTTTTAGTTGCACTGACAGACAAAAATAAATTGAACAATAACAAATGGAAAGCACTGGTAGAAGTTAATTCTCACTGAAGTGTTCTATAAAAATCTGTCTCTACTTATCACCTACTGTATAAAAACTAGTTAAAACATTACTGTCAGTGTTCTGGTGTGTATGGTGGGATGGTGATAGTAGTTTTTCTCCTCCCTTCCCCTCTTTGTTGCATATGCTGAAGTCTCACTTGTTGCATGCGTGTATGGGTAAATAGTTGATGAGCACAAGTCTTTCTAGCTATCATTGCACCTAAAGCACACTGGTGCCAATTTTTTTCCCTTTGTACACATGCAAAAAGAAAGCCCAATATTGAAATATTATGACACATGGAAGGTCAATGAAGTGTTGCCTAATTTAAGACATAAAAAAGGAACTGGCGAAATTTATATTGAGGCCACATATGGTTGTCTTTTAATTATTATGTAGCCTTGTACTTCATTTCATTTCATTTATTTACCTTCCATAAATCCTGTCAAGTGTACATTCTTATGCGTATGTGGGGATCGTTCTAGTTACAGACACAACTAAGAATTAGAGTTGTCATCCAATAACATACACATTTGTAACACAATAGTGATAAATGTATACAATATAATAAAATAAGTTAATTTTGGTAGTAAGAGCAATGGCAAACCGTATGCAATTTGTACAGTTTTATAGAAGTCTATTAATTAAAAATTCAATAGTTAAAACACAATGTCATTAATGAGTCTTGTATAACATACATTAATAGTATAATAAATTGAAATAAAGACTAGTATACAGTGATATAAAGATTGTGTATATCAAAAATAAGTAACTAAAAGCTAGAACACAGACTACAAATCTTGTCTTCTTTTAATTGTAAAGCAAGACAGCTACTCGCATCTTGAAAAATTTATAACAAATATTCCTGTAATGAATAAAAAGAATGTAAATGTAAAATCTGTTTTAATTGTACTTCAAAACTCTTAGTGTCACTCGATATATCCTTAATATGTTTTGGTAGATTATTATGGACCTTTGTTCCTAAACAATAAACTCCCTTTTGATATTTACTCAAATTTACAAGAGGTTGATGGAGATTATTTTGCTGTCTGGTATTTATTTTATGAATCTCTGAATTTACTATGAATTTCTTTCTGTTTTCTATCACAGAGAGCATAAGAGATAGTATGTACTGAGATGCCAGAGGCAAGATTTATAATTCTCTAAATAAGTTTCTGCATGAATCCCTCCATCTGTGTCCCAACATAATTCTAAGTATATTCTTTAGCATTCTAAAAATTTGTATACTTTGGGGTGAGTTACCCCAAAGGGTGAACCATAATTTATAATAGAATTAAAATAAGAGTGATAAACCATTTTTAATGTATTTATGGAAGTGTATGGTTTAAGCAATCTTATCATGTAGCAGACTGCGCTTAGTTTTGATCTAATATATTCAGTTTTATATTTCCAGCTCATTATATCATCCATGAATATTCCAAGAAATTTATTATTGCATATCACATCATATACAATTCTTATTTGTTAAAATTTATAGAAAGTTGCTTTACTTTGAACCATTCATTTATACTGTGAAAAACAGTGTTTATATTTACACAGAGATCATCATAGTTTGAACTTTTAAGTAACAAACTAGTATCATCTGCAAATAATATAGGTACAGTTTTATCATTTATAGTTTGGGTAAATCGTTTATATAAATGAGGAATAACAAAGGGCCCAGAATCGAACCTTGCAGGACACCATGTCTAATTTTGCCCCATGTCAAAAATTCATCGAGATTAAGATTTATATTTGTAATTAAAACCCTTTGATATCTATTTCTGAAATACGATTCAGTTCATAGTTTAGCTTTACCTTTTATCCCATAGAACTCCAATTATGACAACAGAATCAAATCATTAACACAACCGAAAACCTTTTCGAGGTCACAAAAAAAGTTCCTCCTATTAAGTTCTTGCTGTTTAAGGTCTAATAGATTTCATTCACTAACTTGTATATAGCCTCATCTGTAAAGATTTTTTCTAAAACCAAATTGTTCTTCCACTAAAATGTTATTGTTATTCAAGTGCTCAGTCAATTGAATGCTCATCACTTTTTCTAATACATTAGAGAATGAAGTTAAAAGTGATATAGGCCTGTAGTTTGAAATATTTGATTTCTCACCTTTATTAAACAGCGGTCTTGTTTCGGAATATTTTAAACGATCTTGGAAAATTCCTTGTGATAATGAATTGTTGCATACGAGTATGTGAGTCAAAGGAGAGCTAATGAAAAAAGAATTAATTCTTAATACTTTAGTGGATATTTCATTGTACCCATAAGAGTTTTTTGCTTTGAGAGATTTAATTATATTTTCAACTTCCTTAGTTGATAAAGATTTAAGTTTAATATGTGGAAAGGGATTTATAAACGTTTTCAATAAATACTGAATTGGAGTAGTGTCTGGAAGATAACTAATATTTGTATTATTTTGTTTATTTTTTACATTTTTATTATCAGCTACAGATAAAAAGTAATTGTTTAAGGTCTCTGCAATTACTTGCTTTTCTTTAATCCATTTTCCATCCACCTTTAATATGGTTATTTTTTTCATTATTTGACCCCTTATTAGTTGCCAATTTTACTATATCCCATATGGTTTTATTTTTATTTTTGGAATTTTGAATTTTATTATCATATTTTAGTTTTTAGCTTCCTTAATGACCTTAGATACAATTTTACAGTAATTTTACTTGATTGAGATTTTGTGTAATTTTTTATAGCTGTCAGAGAAAAAGCAAGAGTTGGCTATGATGTACAAGGCACTAAATGACATGAGGGGATTTTCTGAGGACTGTGCTAAGAGTTTGCTCCATCAGTTGATATGTGTGTTGGTTGAACTGACATCTGTACCAGATTTAAGAGTGAGTAGAACAGTTTTGGTTTCTGTATCTTACATGATTTCTAGGTAAATCGTAAATCATGATACTGTAATATACAGAAGGTATGAAAGATCGTAAGAGAATGTGCTGAAAACTTTGAATTCTTTATTGACTATGAAAATCTTGTTACAGTCTTCTGGGATGATGTGCAAAACTATATGACATCAGACGTCAGAAAACCATATTTTAATACCACTGTGAGAACCTCAATTGTTATATATATGAAACTCATCTTTCTGCAGTAATGAGTCAAACTTTATACAGCCCCTTTATTAACCGTCACAACTCAACAAATATCAAGGTCTGCCCAGCTACGGCTCTGCTACATGTTTCGGCCATCAATAGCCATCAATAAAGGGGTTGTATATTGTAACACAGCAGGATGCATGAAATGAAAAGAGTCAAACTTTGTTTAACTTTTAAAGGATGAATGATATATTGACAGTCCTGCATCTTGTTTTGGTGCCCTGTGTATGTGCTTAGCCCAAACAAAGCATGGAATTCTACTGTGCTAGGTTTCAAAATTATCTTTGTATAAACAATGCATGCATCAAATTTATTTTCCTATGCATGTAGCTAATCATGTGCAACAATTTGCTGACACACTCAACCCAACAGCAGATTGTTTTCCTTCTTGTTTCCTTTTTGGTATCTATAACAGTAGCATTGTTATTCAGACCTGATAAATATACATGGGGAGGTAAAATATATGAGGGGAGAATAAAGTTGTTTATGATTGGATTCACATCACTGTTGTCAGTGATAGATTGTTACCACCCATCTGTAATTTTGTTCGTTCATGTGCATATGAAGCAGTTTTACAAACGAGGAGAGGATAGTGTTGCTACTGAATAACATATTCTAGTGTTCAGTGGCAGATTTGGTTCCTCCTTATGGTTCTTTCTGTTTCCATACTTAAATGCGTTCAATAGACCAGTTATCCACAATCAGTATGGCAGGAACTTAAAAGCGCATGTGTCTGATAGTCGATTTAGCATGTGTGCATGGTGATTTGAAGAGCAATACAGTGACGTCTCAGAAGAAGAGCTCAAAGATAACTCACTTCAGGATCCATTAACTGCTGAAGAAAATGATGAACAGATGTGCACCAGCTTGTGGGAGAACAAAATGGGCTGAACAAAACCGCTTCTCCTAATGTTACTGAAAATTCACAAGCCCATTTTTTTGCCATATTTTTAGACTATCCTGGCAGTAATTGTACTGGAGACCAACCAGTATATGTAACAAGTTGCACAAGCAAGAAATAAACAAGATACATATACATGTTCACAGCAAATAAGCTTAAAGATCAATACACATTTCTTGCAGTAGTTCAGATGGGTCACAACCACAATCCCAGTATGAAGCTATACTGGACCAAAGACAAACGCTACCACATTCCTTTCTACTCCAGTGTGATGCCACATGATCATTCATCTCATGATTCTGAACATTTGCATTTTGCAGACAGTCAGAACCCACTAACAGAAAACAGAAGATTTTGATTACAACAGATTGCAGAAACTCAAACAAATATCTGGCATTCTTAATTCGAAATTTTCAGAACTGTATCATCCAACAGAATATACTGCAGTGGATGAAGTAATCATAAAATTCAAAGAGAAAGTCATCTTTTGTCAGTACATTCCAAAAAATGGAAGAGATTTGGCATAAAAATATATAAAGTTTGTAACAGATCTGGTTACACATACAACATGAGGATATTCCTAGGAAAACAAAGAAATGTGTCTAGCACAGATGTTAACACCCACACATGGATCAGTACTGGAACTGGTTCGGAAAGTTGGAATTGGTCAGAAAATATTCATGGACAATTATTTCACCTCACCAGAACTTATCAGCAATCTTCACTACATGAAAATAAATGCATGTGGCACAGTTCATTATAACAGGAAGGCAGTGCTGCCAAATTTAAATCCTAAACATCTACAACTGAAAATGCGAGACACTGTGCCTAGAGAACAGGGAAATCTGAGTTCTTTGTGTTGGAAGAAAGAATGAGAAGTTCATGTTCTTTCTAATATGCACATTCCACCGGTGGAAGATAACATCATGGAAGGTGGGCAAGCTGTGAAGCCTCTGATCATTGAAGACTATACAACCCATATGGGGTATGTTGACTTGAGTGACAGAATGACAAACAGCTACAGCATCAGCCAAAAAACCTCAAAATGGATTAAAGCGATCCACTTACATTTGATGAACCTAACCATTCTGAATTTATGCATTCTCTGCAGGTCTTGTGGGGGAAATATGACCCATCCAAATTTAGGGAGGAGCTGGTTAGTGATCTCATAGTTGTCTCCCATGAAGAGAATACTGAAATCTGTGGTATACCAAGAGCTCGTTTGAGCAGTTTGGAGACGTAAATGATCCGACTTAAAGTAAAACATTCTCCTCACTGGCCAGTCAGAGGAAAAGAGTGACATCATTTTTGCCAAATGAGGAAACAAAGCAAGAAAGCAGTTCACTAGTTCAAATAATGTGACTGTGGCGTGTGTGTTGTGTCATACTCTGAGCTGCGGCCTACGAAAACCTGACTGTGATGTGAACTGACTATACTTATAGTGTGCCGGCTGTGTAAGTGGTCTACAGCAGTGAAGCAGAACTTCTAGTGTATGATGAAACTGTCTTTAGGGAAGATGTAGAGTATGGGGTGGATCCACACATGTAGCTCAGGCAGGCATCAAAGGAGAACAGTTAACAATTTTATGGAAGTATTACTTTTTTATGTTCATAATTTTTCTGTAAGTACATATTTTATAGAACAGGTTTAGTAATCTATCAAAAATAAACTCATGGAATTCGGCCAAAAAATTATAAAACATTTTTAAAAGTATGAGATGGTCATTCCTCTATTATACCATTCTTGTTTAATTCAGGTACATAAATAAACAGAGATTATATATACTTGTACATACATTTCTTCCAGTCTGGTACAGTCAGACTTTAAGATTACCACCTTTAATTCTGTCTGTGTGCCAGGCAAAGGTTTAAATATCTTGTACTTAAAAGGTTAATAGAGGAGAATGAATTTGGTGGCATATGTAACACACATGGTAGAGATGAGGAATGCATACAAAATTTTAGTGAGGAAACCTGAATGGAAGAGACCACTTAGAGGTCTGGATGTAGATGGGAGGACAATATTAAAATGGATTGAATTTATTAAGGCTCAGGCTGGGGTCCAGTGCCAGGCTTCTGTGAATATGGTGTTGAATATTTGGGTTCCATAAGGCTGAAGACTAGATTAGTGACTGCTAGCTTCTCAAAAATGACTCAGTGTCATTCAGTTAGTTAATGAATACAAGGGCTGTCCTTGTCTGATTGGAGTGGTATGACACACGTCCATCAGGTAGTCGAACAGTGAAGGCATTTTTCACATATGTTTAAGATATATGCCTTTGTATAATGGTGCAACTTCTCAATTTACTCACTTGAATTTGGAATTATCTCAGAATTTCTCTCTTTACTACCAGTGTGCATTATGTGTTTGCTATTCAGGTGTATTGCTTATTTGTGTTTATGCTGTTAATATTCAAACCTGGTGGGAATCTGTAATATTGATCTTTATGGTTGAGTGGTTACCACCCCTACTTTTTATTCAAGAGTTCCCAGGTTCAAATCTCAGCTTAGAATCTGACTCCTGACTGCAGTTTTTTTGTAGCTTTCCTTGGTTCATGACCACTTCTTTCCACATACTCTCCAATTCATTATTTGTTATCATCCTGTAGTTCAATGCTACATAGTCTTGAGCTACTGTCAGCATCAATAAACTGTAAATAATTAAATTCATTGGAACTTACATAACATTCATTTTGATTGTATTTCACTCTTCATACTTACATGTTTGTGACATGGGAGGATGTGGAATGTGCGTTCGGTTTGCAGGCTTTACAGTAAATGCTTAGTTGTCCCCCCCCCCCGATTATGCAGCAGTCAGTGGAGTTACCTAGTAGGCAGAGCGGATTGCTGTTGTGCCTAAATACTGAGCTCATTTAAGATTATATTTCTGTCTGGTGACCACGTAGAGGACTTTAAGAGCCCTGTAGCAGTAAACTGATTTTTTTTAATCCAAATTTTCAGTAATTGAACTGAATTCACATTAAAATTTATTACCAGTGGAAAGCATTATATCAGGAGCATCAGCTTAGTACACAATATAGGTCTAGCTACAAGCATTTGTAATAGACTCTACAGCAATCAGAATGGTGTTTGAAAATCCTATCTTGCCTAATTAGAAAATTAAATTCCCACCACAGCCTCCTACATTTCACTATCCTGTAATGCTAGTTTACCTGTATAAAACACAAACCTCCTAATTATCCAATCCATAATCTAATTTTCAGATTAGAGAAGAAGCTTCAAGGTGTTTGGGTGAGCTTGGCCCTGCTGATCTGACCACGATGATACTGAAACCAGAAAAATGCCAGGAGTTGCAAGGGAATGAGTTCAAAGATAGTCCCATCCTCATGTTTACAGCTCACATTGTGCGAGTTGCGGTGGATTATCTAGTTGATGAGAACATCAGTGTGGTGGAAGCAGCTAGTGCAGCCCTGTATAAAATTCTTGCATCTTGGGAAGGTCAACAGGTCATAGGTAATATTTTTTATATATTTGTGGGTGCTGGATACAAGAAAGAATTATAAGAAAGGACAGTCGTGTTCAGAATATGTGTGTCACTTCAGCATTGAAAATGTAGTCATGCATAATGTGCCCATTTGAACATCAAAATCCAAGATTGCAGTAGTTGTAACCTTTTGTGAATCACAGGACTTTTTGCTCTTTGCTTAATTAAGAAATTTAATAATTATATGCAGTTTCACCGAACTAGATAATGGTATGCAGCTGCCATTTTACTGTACTAGGACAAAAAATGTTCCATTTGCTTCACATGACAACACTGTAGAGATGACTGCCATTCTGGATTTCAGAACTGTAATTTCATCTCAGTTTTACGGTGATGTGTCAGCTGTTGGAATTTTAAAAAAAATGGAGTCATGTTCCAGTTTGAGGACACCTTGCATGTGAAGATTTGTTGTCTTGATAAGAAGTATAGAACTAAAAAAAAATGTAATTTCTTTATTATATCATTTCATAGAAATGTGGACTCTTGTTGTGAAGGAAGGACATATAATATGTTTGAAAACAAAATGTTCAGTAAATATTTGGATCTGAGAAGCGTGAAGTACGTGGTGCAATCCAAAAGTTTCTGAAATTTGAATTTTGTGCGCGAATGGTTATGAGTACATCGAAATACCACTAGGTGTCTCCTCACACATCCTTCTTGAATCAGTATGGCAAGCGGCGTCGAGTTGAATGGCTGGGTTTATTGCTGGTGAAAATATTTCCATTGTTGTATTTCCGTGAGTCTGTGGTTTTGTGATGGCTGACCTGAGAGAGCAGTGTGTCTATATAAAGTTTTGTTTCAAACTTGGGAAACCCGCTGCAGAAACGCACCAAATGTTGAAGCAAGCTTTTGGTGAAAACAGTTTAGGCCAGACACAAACTTACAACTGGTATAAGCATTTTAAAAATGGCCGAACATTGACTGATGATGACGATCGTTCGGGATGGCCGTCAACTGGCACCACACCAGAAAATGTCACGAAAGTTAGGGATCTGATTCTGCAAGACTGACCATCCAAGACCTCTGTAACACCTTGGGACTAAGTTATGATACATATCAACAAATTTTGTCAGAGGAACTGAACATGAGGAGGATTGCGGCGAAGTTTGTGCCACGACTGCTGCAAAATGAACAGAAGCAGCATCGCTTTGAAGTCTGCAGGGAACTTCAACAACAGCTTCAAGAGGATCCAAACTTTCTTTCGAAAGTTGTCACTGGTGACGAAAGTTGGGTTTATGGCTATGACCCTGAAAGCAAGCAGAAATTGTCGCAATGGAAGAGCCCTTCTTCACCTTGGCCAAAAAAGCTCGACAAGTCAAGAGTAACATTAAGTCCGTGGTGATCTGTTTTTTTTATATATATTGACAGGATTGTTCATAAGGAGTTCGTCCCTCCTGGTCAGACAGTCAATAAAGAGTTCTATCGCGATGTTCTAAGGCGTTTGAGGGAGGACATGAGGAGAAAACGTCCAGAGAAGTGGCGCACAAACGACTGGGTACTCCACCATGACAACGCATGACCGCATACAGCTTACATTGTGCAGGAATTTTTTGCTAAAAACAAGATGGCAGTTGTTCCCCACCCACCGTACTTGCCAGACTTAGCTCCATGTGACGTCTTTCTCTTCCCCAAGATGAAAATCAAGTTGAAGGGGCAAAGATTTGATACAGTTGAGGAAATTCAAGCGGAAACGCAGATGGTACTAAACATCCTAACAAAGAAAGACTTCCAGGATGCATTTGAAAAGTCGCAGAAATGCTGGGATCGGTGTATGCGCTCCCAAGGGGACTACTTTGAAGGTGATGCAGAATAAGATCTAGGTAAGATGTAATAGTTTTTATTAATATATTTCGGGAACCTTTGGATTGCACCACATATGTGGGTATTTTATGGATTGGATAATGAGGAGGTTTGTGTTTTATACAGGTAAACTAGTATTACAGAATAGTGAAATGTAGGAGGCTGTGGTGGGAAGTTAATTTTCTAAATACTCATTTCAGACAAAAATTCTAATGTGTTTTCACCTTGCAGGTAATAGTATTAATACTTGTGTGTTGTGTGTTGCCAGCTTACTTGTGCTTGATTTTTTAATATGATAAACATATTTGTTACTTTAATAGGTTCAAGTGGGTTTGATGACCCATTCATAATACCATTCAAACCAGTCAGATGTGCAAAGCGTGAATCGTCAATGACTGTAAATGAAGACATATTCAGGGAAACAGTTGATATGGATAACCTGTGGTGTCCTATGGAAAAATGCAGCCATGATAGATGGGTGACTAATTTGGTGTGCACTATCTTGAAAACATTCCCACAGGAAAATTGCTTTATGTCACAGTTGGTTCCTGTTTGCAGTGCAAAGGTAAGCATGGCTGTAGCCTTAACCAGTATGTTACAAATCAGTCTGCAATGTGGTATTAGCTATTAACCCTTTACACACCACGTACCAACTGAACTGGTTCAGGGAACTCATGAAATCACCACAGCAGAAGAGATCAGCTCAGTGTTATTTATTGTATAATTCCTGTTAGTAGTTGGCATCACGTGTGCCATATTGATGCTTAGCGAAAGAACAGGCATTCATATGAGATTGCTGGTTGATGGCGATTTGAGGAAAGCATTGTAGATTTTTCTGTGCTGTGCAAGTGCATTTTTCACCAAGCAGCTTTGGCATTTGTGGCAGGGATTGGCAGTCAAAGGGTTATACCCACAAATATGCATGCCATTCAGTACCACAAATACTGTAATTTAGGATTCCTGCAGAGTGGCATTCACAAGGAATTTTTTATGACTCCTCTCAGCAAACATATCACTGAAGAAATATGGGACTATATTTTATTTTCTAGTCTTTAGACATCTGTGGTTCTGCTTACCATAGGGCAGGATTTTGCTTGCTCCTTGCCATAACAAAATTTTGTTCACTCTATCAGAAGGATGGTATGGAAGATATGACTGGCTGAAGGGACCTGTAACTTACTTATTTTTATTAGGCATCCTATAACTTGATGTGAACTTTATATGTTAGTGGGAACCAGGTATCCTTGACAGAATTCAGTCAGAGATGTGGGATTGGAAGGCACATAACAAATGTATGGTGGATCTGACCATTTTGAAATGCAAGCTTTTTGGTATGGGAGTCAGCACTTTACCCCAGCATGAGGTCAGGAAAGTAACATTTGAAATTACACTGAAGCTGTAAGTCTTCTTATTGTCAAATTTCATGTACACTGAAGGAAACTGACATGCATTGTTTGTCTTGGACATTATCCATGATCCTGTTTTTGTTTGAATCAGTGTTTTGGAGACTGGACTCTGTCCTAAGGTGAAAAGCTTATTAGTTGGGCCCAGTGAGTAGACTGTGTCCTGCCATTAAATTTGTAATATGTGTAGTTGTCATTTTCAATTTTTTGTCTTAATTCCTGCAGATGTTTTATGTTTGTGTCTGATTTATGTATGATGCCTTGCTTTGGTTCTGGTGACTGGAGATATGGACTATCTCTTCCGATTGAGCGCAACTGAGTAAGTTTCTACATGAGGACAGAAGCAGGGTCCTGTCTCAGAAACGTTGTTTTAAATAAAAATAGGATGATGGATACTGTCCAAAAAGTCAGTCACAGCGTTAATATATCATCATTACGAAATTTAGATCATATTTTATCGACCTCCCACATTTCTGCTCACCTGGCAGGAAGATTAAAGAATACATTTCTAAGGTAGGAGCAGATTGAAGTGAATCTTGGTACTCCTAATAGTCTGTAGCATTGTATTATCAGGACGGGAAAAGATTTATTAATTTTTATAGTGATAACATACTTGAGGTCTTGAAATGTAATAAAACTTTTCTGTGCATGAATCATAGTGTTTTGAAGGTCATACAATTTTTCCTTACAGATGTCATTTGCAGAACAGATACTGCCATTTTTAGTGTCTCTTGTTCTAAGTACAGGCAGTGATGTCTGTAAAGCCGTCATGAATAGATCCATATGCTACTTCTTTAGGAATCACTTCGAGACTTGTCTCCAACTTGACAAGGAAACTAGAACTTCTCCATTACCAGTTCTCAGGCGTAAGTTTCTAAAACTTGTCATGTACTACCTGAAAGAGGCACTATTCTTGTTTCATTTCATTTCATTTCATTTATTTCGTATCCATGGATCATCCATGTAGGATGATAATATAAATTATTATTGAATATAAAATCTGTCACTGAACTGCACTTGAAGACACAAAGTAAAGGAAGATCTGGGGCTATAAGGACTTCCATTTAATTTGTTTTGTAATACTGAGGATCAGTGCTAATATTCTGTATTTTCATCATTTATGTTTTTTATGTTACTATCAGTAGTTCAGACCATAGACTCATACAGAGCTGTTCATATGTACTGCAGTATCCTGTTGCACTGTGTATTCTAACTTTGTGTTCTCTTTTTTGCCATCTTTGTGCAACTTTGTCAGTATGTTCTCACACTTCAGTGTCTTCATGTCTTCTCATTATACAGCACTACATGTTTCAACCAAACTGGCCATCATCAGATGTGAAAGATGTTGGATTAAAGGAACCTGCTGCTCTGTTATCACGCTGTTCTGCTTTTAATTTTTATGTAAAATGATTCTAAAATATTTTATTTTAGGTTATTTTTAGATTATCATGCCATTGTTACTTTATTATATGGTGTATATTTTGTTGATATGTTGGTTTTATCCTTTTCTGCTGTGTGTAGTTACTGTTTACCAAGTAGTTGATACTTGATATTTTATGTTCATGTAAACAGATGAAACACATACCCAATATCTAAAGGAGCAACAGAAAAAGAACTGAACTTTATAAAAAAGACACACTACATAACAGTGAATATTATCACATGTATGAGTATGACTTTAGACGGGGTTTTGGATTGGAGATTTGAATTAATATCCAGTTACAGGTCGTAACTAAAAGTAACTATAACACTATCACTAATTTGATGTACTGTATCATTGTACTTCCATTTTTTCTTCAGTATCTGATAAATGCAAAAGATCTGATCAGTAGTTGATCTGTTACATCAAAACCTACACTGATGATCCCCAACAATCTCATCTATGTGTGGGCTTAACCTTGAGAGAAGAATATTGGTTAAAATTTTGTATGAAGTTGATAGCAGTGGTATCCCCTGATAATTACTACAGTTAGTTTTATCACCCTCCTTTTGAACTGGTACGATAATAGACTCCTTCCACTGATCAGGCAATTTTTCCTTATGCCAGATACAAGAAATTAGTTTATGTATCTTAGACTGTAATATTTCACCTCCTGCTTGAATAAGTTGCTTAATGAGGAGAGATGAAGACATTGAAATGTGAATATTAATATATCAACTGAGTTGCACAAAGATGGTAAGAATTGAGAACATGAAGACAGTCAGGGTTACTCTCCTGGCATTTGCCTCAAGCAGCTGACAAAAGCCCCAGAACACCTCAGGCAGGATAATTGCTTTGTGGGTCAAGATTTGAGCTTGGCACCTCCTGAATAAGAAACAGAACTGCAAACCACTCAACTGCAGGATTTGGTAAGGCTCTCTGAATGTATGATATGCATATTTATGTAATGCAAATGATTACATGCTCCAGGTAATTAAAATGCATGAAAGGCAAGTATTGCTGGGAATATGCTATCTTTGCTGCTGTGCCCACATTGTCTTTGAAGAAGAGAAAAGTTTCTTGCCCTTACCTGGAATCTAACCTCAACTCCTTTGCTATCCAACCTGTAGCATTGTACACACAGTGTTAGTTGAAATTTGAGCCATTCTAAGGTTCAGCTCGCTCACGTATGATGTCATCATGTTTCCCTTGACGGATTCCATCCCCACTATGCAGTATCCTGACATTAGTCACGTGGTCCCATGTACCCTCTCGTGAAGGGGAGACTTGTACAGTGCAGTCGTGTAGACCAAGTTGAAGGTCGGTTACTAGCCAGCAGGTTTGTTGTGGAAAATATTGGTTTCGGCTGGGTCTGTTCTAAATTCCCTTTTGGTGCTATTTGGCTGGCCGGTAAGGACTGCCGCGGTCGCAAGCCGTTGCTTGAACGCTTGCGACGCGCGTTATTAGATTTGGTTTGGTATTTTTTTTAATTAGACTTGTCTTTGTATAGCCTGGGTGTTTAACGTCCTAATATGTCTAGTGTCGACACAAGTGGTGCCGACGGGAAATTGTTTTGTTCTAAATGAGCTTGTATTAGTTTCTTGGTCAAATGTGTCGTTTGTTATTTATGTATTGTTATATATTTTTTTATTAAAGTTGTATTTGTTCTTATCTAAGCCAACGAACTGAGTGTAGCTTCCTCCTCCTAGCTTGGATACCCCATGTCCATCTAGGGGAGCGTGGGAACCAACAATAGGGCCAGTAACGATTGCGCTGTGCCCTCCCTCTTCGTAATAATAGTAACATAATAATAATCAGAAGGAGCAGAAGACGAAGGGCACGGTGCAAATTATAAGATCTAAAAGTTTGTGACGATGGTACATTAATACAGATACTATGTCTGTGACCATTATCCATCATCCTGTTTTTATTAAAATTACTCTTTATTATTTTCAGATTGTAAGGAACAAGTGTGTTTCAATAGAGCATCTGTGCAATGTATGCTAAATATTGTTCATTTTGCACGACTTCAGAAATGTTTGAAGCCTCAAGGAAGGTAAGATATAGAAACCATATGCCTCATTTCAGTCAGACTCGCTGCAGTAGACCTGTATTAAATATTGTTGAGTAATTTTCATTTTAGATCCTTTTAAAGGTCTAAATGATCATCTGCATGTATCTTCAGAGTGTTTTGATTTTGCAGGAAGGAAGGCGTCAGTGCTCAGTATCTAGAACTTAATTATCTGCATGTTGCTGAAGCTGCCCAATTCTGTTCTGCGTACTTCACATCCATTCTGTATGCAGAACTGTGGTGTGACGATAACAGGTATGTTCTAGTTTGTTCTGTTCAAATTAGGTGGAAGTTTTAAGAAAATTAATTTCCATAACATTTTCATACTTGGCTATTGGAATGGTGGGCAACCAAGCTTATTAAATGGAAGAGAGAAAACTCTTTTTGCTGTCATATTAAGTACGATTTGTGACATTTTACAGTACATTAATGCGCTGCATTGCATGGGATCATAGTTAAATGCACCAAGACTGTTGACTGAAGATCAGAGAATTAAGTGTGTGTTTAGTTTTTTAGGATTAACTGCAACAAGCGAATTGGAAATTTTTTTTTAAAAACATGTTCGCTTGAAATGTAACTTTGGTTTGTTTGTACAATGTTAAAACAAAATGATAGTTGTCACTCTGACAGAGTTGTGATTCACCATGCCCCAGAAAAGCACAAGTGAACCCAAAAGTGAAAACATCGTTTATCATTTTTTCGAGTATGTTGGCATTGTTCTTCATGGGTTCATTTGAGGAGTTCTATATAAAGAAAAGACCTGAAATGTGGTCTGCAGGAACCCAGTACCTCCATCACCACAGTACACCAGCTCACTGAATTGCCAGTAAAGGGTTCTTGGCAAAGCATTTGGTTCCTGTTCTTCTACGGCCCCCTATTAGCCTGACCCAACCCCCTCCATACATTCCTCAAAACAAAAGTGACCCAAAAGGAAGAATATTTCAAATGGTAGAGGACATGATTATGAATACTACAGGTGAACTGAGAGCAATTTGACAAACATCCTTTGAACATTGCTTCTAAAAGTAGAAATTGTAATGGCAGTGGTACATTGCTACTCAAGGAGCTATTGGGATAAGTGTAAAAGAGCTGTAAGTTTTTAAATAAAATTATTAGTGATGAATTCAGGAATTTTTTGAATAAAAATTGTTAGAAACTTCTTTATTAAAACCGTCACAACACAACTATATTAATGTCAGTGCCTAGTTTTGGCTCTGCTACATGTTTTGGCCATTAATAGCCATCATCAGGCAAATACATGGCTAACATATATGCACCACTGAACTGCAGTATTAATAAAATTGGATACAATAATATTAATATATTAAAATACGTGACGTAAAAATACAATAAATTAGATATATAAAAAACAAAAGTTATGGTATAAAACAAGAATAAAATTCTTCGATTTATGCTTTACATCATCAAGTCAGTCGTTGGTTTTTGTGAATTTTTTGTGTTCCCACAGACAAATTGGAGTATTCTATATTTTGTATGTATATAAAAAAACTCTTATTGGAGGCTATTAATAGCCGAAACATGTAGCAGAGCCAGAACTAGGCACTGGCCTTGATATAGTTGTATTGTGATGGTTTTAATAAAGAAGATGTATATTATAACACAACAGGATGCAAAAAATTGTTTGTTTGCCATCTCTTATTAGTGATCAGGTAATGCATATAGGATCGGGCATCCAATAACCACCATTAATGAATGGATTACGTTCTCAGATTAGATTTACATTGTTTGTTTGTTTGTTTGTTTGTTTGTGTATAAACTTTGCAGCTTTGAGGGTGACTAATTATGTTAAATTCTTTTTTGGTTACCTCTTGCATAGGTGTGGAATAAAATTGTGGCAGTCTTTGAAGTTTCTACTACATTTTGTTGCTGCTGTTTGCATGACCATCTTGAATGTGTTGTGGTACATTTCAGGGAGAGCATGGACATTGATTGTGCTGGTGGCCTGTCTCTGTCATCACTAGAATACATCTGTAGCAATAGTGCACAGAATGGAATAGCACTTCAAAATATAGTGAGAGAGGTGAAGTAAATTATAATACATACTGTATTTTTCAGCATGAAGTTGGGAGTTCCTGTATAAATTTTAAGATAAGATCTGTGAATGATAATAGTCTACACAGACAGTAATATACTTTGTGTGTGTATGTGTGCACATGTTTCAAAGAATACTTCATTAGTACCAAACTTATCTTCTGCATATCATGGTAAAGTGATGAAGTCTTTAATGTGTACAAATGCAAATTTATTGTATAACTGGAAGGGAACTTTTAAGATAAAGCTCAGAAACTGTCATCAATAAACACTTAATGAAGCCGCTACTGTAAACACTAATAGTGTTTATTAGGGAAGTCTTTCTTTCTTTCTTTCTTTTATTTTGTTACATATGCAATGTACAACTTCTACTGTATTTTTCCCATATATGCTATTGAATCCACTACTGATTTGCTGTTTAGCTTCGTTATTAATGATACTGTCTTGTTTTCTATGTAGGCTTACAAGAAGATTGGCGATAATGATGCTGTATATGGATGTGGCTCGTCCCATATATTAGACCCTCAAACCCGCATTTTCCACTATGAGTTGACCGGTAATTGGCAAAATGTGCTTCTGTCTTATGACTTAGAGCTGTCCAATGGGAATGAAGATGCCATTGGAGGTATGTTTATTCTTGCACATTGTATACTGTAAGTATCTCTTTTCTGAAAGTGGCAGGTTAAGAGCAGAACTCTTATTCATATGTGTCAAAGTGAAACACATTTTTCGTCTTTGTAGGTGATAAGTAAGTTAAATTACCCCAGTGCATTGACTCAGGAATGATGTATTTCTTATTTATGGTGTATTTAATGACATTGTTACTAGCTTGGACTGTATGGCATCAAATCATATAATGGTTAATGATTGATGATTGAAATGGATGTGGAAGGAAGCTACCATGCCATAATTGGAAACACTGTCTTGGCGTTTACCTGGAAAGACTGAGGGAAACAATTAAAATCTTCAGGCAGGGTTGTCAGTGTCCCAGCTGGGAATAAAATCAGTTACCTCCTGAGTACAAGACTTCTTGCATGAGCCATCTTGCTTAGTGAAATTATGTTTTATGCATTTTTCTTTTAGGTATGCTGTTTGCATTGAGGAGGCTTGGCCTGTGTCATATTCAGAGTTCTTACTTGAGTGATGGGATGTATTCTGAATATGAGGATTATCGATACGAATGTTGCTGGAGACTTGGACAGTGGAATCAGTTATCCACAGAAAACAGTAAACAATTAAATTACAATAAAGCTGACAGTAGCAGTGGCCTCAAATCACTGATAACAAAAGGAGAATATGAGAAACATCACTACATATCACTGAAAGCACTGCATGATTTAGATTTTTCAAGTGTTGAAAGAGCAGTGTCAAGAGCAAGAAAGTGTGCGATAAATTCATTAACACATGCAAGCTTGGAGTGCAGCAAAAATCTCTATCTTGCTTTGTCACAACTTCAGACATTGCAGGAGATTGAGGACTTTGCATCTGCATGGCAATCAGGAGAGGCTATTAATATGGAAGCAGTTCTGGATAAATGGAAGAAGCAAGATCAGCTCAGTCTCAGTGAATTTCAGTACATGGAACCAATCCTTGCACAGCGAGCAGTATTGTTGCATAATGCAATGCTGATGGAAAAGAATGATGAACTGAGACAACGGTTGGCTGAACACTTAGCTGAAATTCAACTTAGCACAGCAAAACTAGCAAGGACTGAGGGCTGGCATCATGTAGGAGTTCGTTGTCTTCGTATGTTGTCACAAATTGGAAGATTGTCATCAGTTGTTGAAGGACGGTTGAAGCTAGAGGAAGCACAGCTATCATGGGGGAGAGGAGATCGTGAAGTTGGTAGACATATCCTCCGTTCACTCCTTGGTGAACTGTCTTTGATTTTTAATGAGACTGAGGAGAACAGATTGCTGTATTCCTATGCTCTTACTCTATATGGCAACTGGATGGTTGAAACGAGGTCTGAAAACTCTCAGGTAAAATTTGTTGCTCTTGTTTGATAACAAAGTTGTGCCAATATGTGCTCTCATTTTGTGGAATTAAAATATAGGTGTGACTCCTGACACGGTTTTAAATATGTGAAAATTATTTTTCTTTCTGTGTTTTCCTATTCATATGAGTTTAATAGCATTAATAAGCATCATTTGATATCAGTGAGATTGAAGTTATATGAAGGGAGTAGTGTTTTAAAGTATGAATTGAAAATATACTGGGAACAGTATACCTTTTTGAAAGTCATAGTGTAAGAGTGTTTTTGATTTAACATATTTTTCACACATCAAGTTTATATGTAAATGTACTGTGTCATTTGTTTCACATGTAGGTGATTGTTGAGCGTTACTTCATAAAAGCCCTACGAATTCTCGAGGGAGTCAAGTACAATGAGGAGAGCCAGCTGGAAACGTACTGCTCTCTGGCACGTTTTGTAGATGCAGAGTATCAACAGCTGATGGGAATATTGAAGTCATCTGCATTTGAATCAAAGCAGCAGTTCTTGACCAAAGCAACAGAAGAGGCAGAGAGACTATTGCAACAAGAGAATCGAACAAGGGATGAGAATAGGAAGATACAGATGTGCCAGAAAATGAGCCGTATTGATGAGGCAGAGATGAAAAACAGGGAGGATGAAAAAAACATGTACCTGAAACTGGCCCTGAAGTAAGTGGTTGCTCAGATTGCTGTTTGGGCTCCCAGAGGTCTTGTACTTTCGCTATTGAACTTCAGTCAGTCCCCAACCACAGGTTTCAAATTAATTTTCAACTGCTAAGGTTTGAGCAGTAAATGTAGTGAATATATAACATTGGACATAATGGGTTGAAAACATTTGCATTCAATGTATGGCTTCTGAAGGACAGTTAGAATTCATTTAAATGAAAAGTAAAAGGTAATTTCACAACAGAATACTATTTTTTACTTGTAGGTACTACCTCTTAAGCTTGGAACATGGGGTCCAGCACAGCTTGCAGGTTTTCCGTTTAACTTCTTTGTGGCTGGAGAACACTGTGCATGAAGAGGTCTCCAGGGTGCTTGAACAGCATTTGCATCGCATTCCAAGCTATAAGTTTTTACCTGTTGTACCACAATTAGTACCCAGGATAAGTAATAATTTGTCAGATCCATTTGTCAGGAGATTAAATACCTTGTTAGGTAAGTTTTCTAAGATCAGTTTTTAGACAAGTTGGAGGTGCTGTAGTTTTATTTTATTATTTTAGTTATATTAATAGATTGTTAGTATTGTTAAAAAAGAAAAATATTTTTCACTTCCATGAAGTGCATCTTTTTTCAGTATCCTTGACCATGTTCAGTGTGACATGAATTTTCTTTGCTTAGCCCCAAAAATATTTGTCAGTTGTATGTATATCATATTCATGTTTGTATAAAATATTCTAAGAGAACAACAGAGCCAGATATAACAGTACAGCATTTTTATGAACTCCTCTCTTGATTATGTTTCATAATAGAAGGATCAAACATAACTGGAACTGAAGCTGAGGGAATTATATAATGATATAACGGGTTTGGAACACATGCACTTTGATCATTTGTGTTTCTTATAAAACTGTTTGAACCCATGTTAATAATATCTTATATCATACTATGTGTGTCTGAATTATGTCATCATGCATGGTAAGTGGGTTTCACTGTTTTGATGGAACATACTCTTCCATCTTCAGGGTAGAATTGAACAAAGTGGGCAAAGTGACTTATAATATAGAAGTGAGAGGGAAGAAACAGTCTATGGAGGATAGGGGGTGGCCAGTTGAAGTCATAAAGTGGAGAAAAGATGTACTGGCCAGTGGAACTATAGGTTATGAAAAATGCAGTTATTCCAGGATGGGAGGAAGGAAGATTAACAAACAGCCCTTTTGTAGGGCACAGAAGGAAGCGTAACAAAGAGTCCTTGCCTTGAATTTCCTCTGTGCAATGCCGTAAAAGGGTTTTTGGGAGGGAGGGTCCTTTGTTACTGTTCCATTTGTGCCCTGCAAGAGGGTTATTTGTCCTTCCACCTGTGCCCTGTGAAAGGACATCAGTTACACTTCCTTTCAAGCCTTGAGAAAGAGTTGCATCTTACTCTTCTTTCTTCCTGCTCTTTTTTGGGTCCATTGTTGCATTGGCCTGTCTGGGCTACATCCTCTTCCGTATTCATGGCTTTCATTGACCACTTTTCCCTTACATGATCCATTTATTTTTCCTCTTACTTCAGTATAACCAACCACTTTCCCACCTTGGCTCATTTTTTTCCGTAAAGATGAAGGCAGTATTTACGTTTATACTTACATTTACATTTATTTTCACTTCATTCATCCAATCATCTCCCCATAGGGCTGGATATAAAACATGTTACATATTACAAATTCATGATGACTACACATCAATCATCCTTTGTCCAATATAATCAGGCCTCTCACAGATAGCTCAAGTTGTCAGGACAACACACATGGGTTATGGAAAAACCACTGTCAAATTCACGCCTTGCCATTCAACACACATTGGCAAGCAGTATCATTAAAACAGTTACATTATAAAATATTAAAATTCATAACAAAAACAGACATCATACATACTACTACACTTACAACAAGCAAGTCTCAATATATAATTTACTCACACAGACCATTTATTAACTTTTAACTTTTGAGCCCCTTGCATGCTTGACAAATTCATCAATAGAGTAAAATACGTTACTTTGCAAATAATTTTGTAAAACAAACCTAAATTGCAGTTTATAATTTTTTAAAACTGTGATATTTGACAGCAGAGTGTTAAATAGCTTGATGCCTGAATAATACACCCCTCTCTGATAGGATGATAAATGTGTTGAAGGTATGTGAAGGTGGTCATTCCTCCTGATACCAATCACATATACAGAGTTATTGGTATTGATATGTTCCATCAAAATGTTGATACTTATCTAGCAGACTGCATACAGTAGGAACCTTCACCTTGTGAGAACTTGAAATGCATAATAGTAATGTACAGTAGCTTCAAAACACAGTGAAGCTGTATGAAGAAGATGAGATGAGAAACATGAACTTCAGAACTCCTAAATAATCATGAATGTCAATTCTGAATGATACAGACACACCCATATATGAAATTAAAAAACAGATCTTCCCTTGAAAAGTACTATCTTCTGGGATATGATGGTGTGTAGTCTCCTTGCCACCCGCTTTCATGCTGATATCTCGCTTGGCTTATTTGACCATGTAGATGGAGACAATATGTTCTTCTGAAACATCAGTTCACTTTCAGTGAACTACATGGAATTATATTCCAGAAGATAGAACTGTTTATAATCACTGCTATGATAACTCAAATCTTACAAATCTTCTCTTATCAGCCTGTATCACAGTCACACATGAAATTGAGGTGTATTTACATATAGCAGTCTGTTATTGGTGGCCAGGTAGCCAAGATATGTGTATCATGGCACTCCATACGTAAGGCTTGAAACACATATCAGTATTTTCCCACGGACGTGGTATATTCTAGACTTTTATATGATAAACTGTTTGGAGGCCTGTGAAGTATAGTTTTAATGTAAACCTGGAAATGATGCATCAGTAAAAGTGTTTGGCAGGTTCCTCATCGTAACAGTACTTGTAGTCTGAGCTCTGGATTTTTGTGTGTATGTAAAACCATAAGAAGTAACACTGAAAGTACTGAGATCCTATTATTCATTATATAGAACGCTGTGCTGTGGAACATCCTCACCATGCACTGCCTGTGATCCTTGCATTAGCCAACTCATACAGAGATCAAGAAGTCACTGGTGGCTTACAGAAGGAGAGGAAGTCAGAGGTACGTCATGTCTCGCCTAGCCATGGGGACTGTATTTGCAGAAACCTAATAAACGCTTTCTGTGCACAGTTTATCAAATGTAAAAGTTTGTGACTGTCGGTGATTTATTCATTGTACAAAAATAATGTTGAATATCAGCTGTTTTCTGAGGTATGTCTGATATACATGACACTGGATTGTGTAAGTTAGATCTGTTCCCATCTTCAGTCATTCATTCAATGAGATTTTTCTCTCTCTCACTGGGTAACAGGCCTTTGCACTGTAATTCTCAAAGGAAAAGACTGGTATGTGAAGTTATGGAATCAGGAATTTTTAAAAGCAAAAAGCTCTCAAGCTAATGTGCATAATAAACAGTTACTCAGAGTTGTCTTTAATTTATGAAGAGCTCTGAAGTATGACAGAAAGTGCTCTGTCATGCTGGCTATTTCATCTGTTTTTTGTTAACATGTTTACTCTATAAATCACATTTTTTGTTTGCAACTAAATGCATATCAGGGAATGATGTGAATGCGTGAATGCTGATTTCAAAAGTACCACAATTTCTCTATATCAGTTAATGGTACCTAGTTGTTTGCTGTGATGAACTTGACTCTGAATGTTTACAACTACCCAACAATAGGAACATTTTAAAACATTTGTTTACAGAAAAGGAAATGGTAAACAGCATCAGACATAAAAGCACAGTAACATTGCAGTTCTAATATAAGTGTTTGTTTTAATTGTTACACTCATTTGTGGTAAAGAGAGGTCTGTTCAGAGTACAAATCTTATTAATGACATTTCTGTGGTGTTGAATGTATAAACTCTTGATACATATCAATGATTCCCAGACTGTGGCTCACAAATGAAAGGGATACACAAGAGAGAAATTTTGAAAAAGTTAGGTATCTCAGGATTGACCATGTCATGTTTGGAAAGAAATAAAAAGCAACACATGAGAGAGAAATTAAAAAAATAGTATTGGTTCAGAACAGTTCATATTCTTGGGGATGAGCTAGGTCATGTTTGGACATAACAACAACATAGAACAACATAGAAATTTTTAAATACTTTTTCCTCAAATGAAGTTCACAAATTGAAAAAAGATATCTGTACAATGATCAGTTGTGGGTATCTGCTGATCTAGTTACCTCGAAGGGATTAATTTCAGGCATGTAAATATTTTTTTACCCCACAAAACAGACTTTTAGTTGTTCATGTATGTAATTTATGCTACATTTATTTGTTTTGTTAGCTTCGAGTGCTGGGGGCAAAACACATAGTTCAGTGTTTGAAGGCTCGTGAAGAAGTCAGAGCCATTCTGACACAGATGGAGGGAGTGGCAACAGCACTTATTAATCTGGCATATTACGAAGTACAAGGGAAAAGTAAATGTGAGTTATTAAAATGCTTAATCTGTTCAGTTATTGTTTTTTTTACATATGTGTATCATGCTTGGATTTACATTAACCCATCAGCATGGTTAAGTGTATATGTTTCTTACATAAGCTGTATAAATTTCAGCATATTCAATTCAGAGGACCCTCCTAAAGCAGCTGAAAGGGAATGAACTGGTACTTGTGCCTACATTGACAATACCAGTAAAGAGTAATTGTCAGTATGATGACATTGTTGGTAAGTTTAACTAAGTTTAAGAAATATTCTTTCATTAATTTGATCATGAATTTCATTTCTGTGACTTAATACTAATTTTTATTATATGCATTTCCAGAATAAAGTTCCTCAAGTAAAACCCAGCAAGACAAAGTATAGCATATCTGTAGTAATTATGTGTTGGAGGACCTGCTGTATGTTATTTTCTGGCTCAGTAGTTTTACAGATTTTTGCTGTATCTGATTTTTTGTCCCCACTTTGCAACGCATTATTAACTTTGTCAATATTAGTCATATATCTCTATGTCTTGTAGAAAAATTGTGATTATGAGTTCCAGTTTTATTGATATCAGTATGAAACAGTACAGAAGAGAGTTAAAGTAGAGATACATTTGCATTTATTTACACTCCATGGCTCCACACATCTCCCCATAGGGCTGGATATAAAACATGTCACACATTACAAATTCATCATGTCTACACATCATACATCGTTGGTCCAATAAAATATATAATCAGGCCTCACGCAGACTGCACAAGTTGTGAAGACAACACACATAGGCCATGGAAAAACCACTGTCAGATTCACACCTTGCCATTTCACACACACTGGCAAGCCATATCATCAGTACAGTTTCATTATAACATATTCAAATTCATAACAAATGCAGACATCATACAAACTACTACACTTACAACAAGCAAATTTCAACAACATATAATACAAGCACACAGACCATATAACTTTTGAGCCCCTTGCATGCTCGACAGATTCGTCAATATAGTAAAATGGGTTATTTAGCAAATAGTTTTGTAAAACAAACATAAATTGATTTTTATCATTTTTTAAAACTGAGATATTTGACGGCAGAGTGTTAAATAGCTTGACACCTGAATAATACACCCCTCTCTGATAGGATGATAAATGTGATGAAAGTATATGAAGGTGGTCATTCCTTCTTGTACCAATCATATATACAGAGTTACTGGTCTGAAACTTATCCGAATTGTTAATAACAGATATCATCAGTGAGAGCAAATATACACATGGGATTGTAGTATGCCACACTTCTTAAATAGGCCTCTACATGTATGAGTTGGGCCCACCCCCATCATTATTCTTATTATTTTCTTTTGTATAACAAAGACCTTATGACTGTCTGATGTATTTCACCAGTATATTCCATGTTTCACCAATGAATGATAATACGCATAATATACAGCTTCAAGACTATTAATATTTAAGATAATTTTTGCATTAGAAAACAAACTGTGCTCAACTTATGAAGCGAAAAATCTATATGTCCCTTACAAGTCAGATGATTGTCCAGCTACAAACCAAGAATTTTTATTGTTTCTACTTCTTTCAGCGTTTTCATAAAAAACAATATATGTAGAGGGTAGCTCGTAGCTGCTGTTGGGGTGAATTTTGTCATTTTTGTTTTATCCAGATTTAACACAAATTGATTATTTTGAAACCATATAGACATATGATTAAAAACAATAGCCAGTTTTATTTTTAAATTATAATAGTCTTTAGCTGTGCAAAGAATACTAGTGTCATCTGCAAACATAATAACTCCAGAAATTTTACTTATTTCAAGGGGGAAATCATTTATGATTATATTAAAGAGTAAGGGTCCCAACACCGATCCCTGAGGCACACCACATCCCACAATTTCCCAGTTGGAATAATATTTAATATTTATATAATTTAATTCCACTCTTTGCCTCCTATATTGGAGGTAAGATTTGAACCATTGCAATAATACACCCTGCACTCCATAGTACTGCAGTTTCATTAATAGCAGATCATGATTAATGCAGTCAAAGACCTTGGCTATATCACAAAATATACCGGTTACATACTTTTCTCTATTCCAAGCTGTAAGTATTACATTGGTTAATTTATAAATAGCATCTTCAGTTGATAATCCCTTTTGGAATCCATACAGCTCTGAAAGTAATATTTTATGTTTTGCGATATGATCATTGAGTCTTCTAAAAATTGCTGTTTCAAATACTTTTGCAAACCCAGTTACTATAGATATTGGCCTGTAGTTACTAATAACTGCCTTTTCCCCTTTTTTTTATACTGGCTTAATAATTGCATATTTTAATCTTTCTGGATATAGACCCATGGTTAATGACTTATTAATTACATAAGTTAGAGGTTTACTAATTTGTTGTCTGCACAGTTTTATAATTTTGTTTGTTACACCATCATACCCTGAAGAGTTTTTTTATTTTAATTTGCTAATTATACTAATTATTTCCTCTTCTGCAACTAAATTAAGATTCGTATCTGGAATACCATTTGGGAAATGGGAATGCAAGTTTGACATTGCAGCATAAACATTAGTTTTTTTAATATTGTAACGTGTTATTTCAGCGACAACGAAATCCCAGACAGGCCATTGCCTGGGAATGCCTTGGGCAACAAACATGTTTCCCCAGAGATGGAAGGTTCGTTGCGTAACAACGAATTGTCGAAACAGCAGGAACCGAACTGTTCCAAATGCGTTCTATCCGGTACGGAACACCTACATAAGGGGGTTGAATGCATTCGCCGAGTCTGTCTTGAGACAGTTGCCGCTGAAGATCAAAGCATGCAGTTGAAGTAGAAGATAGAAGTATTGAAGCATGGAATCGCAGAAGCAGTTGAAGTGATACTAATTGTATTAGATTGTATAAGAGTGAGCGTTCAATAAATATTCGCTAAATCTGAGACCCACGTGAAGTTATTTGTTGCGCTGCATAGGCAACACGCGGCAACTGGTGTCAGAAGTGGGATTAGTTCAGATTAATCTGATTGAATTTAGAAGTAGTATTGAATCTACACATGTGATTAAGACGAACACACCATGGACATACAGCAGATGATGGAACTCCTGCTGAAGGAAATCAGAGCTGACCAGGCAAAGGCAGATGTCAGACATGAACAAATGATGGCCGATTAGAGAGCCTGGCAGGAAAGGATGGCTGCCACACAAGAAAAGATGAATGCCAATACGAAAGCATGGACATGAAGACGGTGGCGTGCTGAGAAATGACAGAGGCGCATCTAGAAGAGTAAAAGCCGACCTCACTGGACAGGAAACCTGAGGCGGCAGAGCATCAAGAAGTCCCCATAGAAGACGCCAAAGTAGTGCCGGTCAGAAAACTGAGGAAGAAACGGCATAGGGACAGAATCCCAGCTGCGGAAAAGAAGGAGGAACAGACCCAGGGTCAGGGTGGGTACTGGAAACGAGTAGCCGTCACCTGCAGAGGTATGGGCAGACAACAGCAGACAACGCAAACCGACCGGAAGGTGTCTCATCGCGCAACAGTGGCACGACACATGAGAGACATCTTCAGGCCGAACACGACCCACTGTGCAAAAGTGGCATGATGTAAGGAAAATGCAGCCAGGAAATATCAGACCAGGGACAACTTGGTACGAGGAACCCCGAAAAGACGCATGCATGGAAGGAGACAAATGATGCACCAGGAAGGCACAAATCTAACCAGGAAGTGAGAACTCAAGGAGCAGCTACAGCATGGAAGAGAGATGACAAGCCATGGGAGGTACAGGAAGACCATTGGGCTGGAAATTGTGAAGCGAGCAGTAGGAATTCCCAGCGGGTGGCAGAAAATCAGGAATTGGACCCTGTGGAGTGGTCGACCCCCTCTGAAACGAAAAAAGAAAAAAAAAAAGACAGTGCACCTGGGAGGAACCTGTAATACAGAAGCACTGTCCTCTCCAGCTAGAATGAGTGAATGAGCGATGAATGAATGTGAGATGACGGAATCAACAACCGCTGGACCATGGAAGTGCTCGGGGCAAGCACTCTGGAAGAAGGGGGGCAGATGGAAGGAAACATCAGGACGAAGGAAGGAGTGGATGCGGTAGAATGAACACCGCAAAAGGACACGCGAAGAATGGCAAGACCGAATGCAGACGTTGCGAGCAGAACACCAAGGAACATCTGAAAGAAAGGAAGAACGGTTAGGCTGTTTGGGGATGAACAACCTTTAGAAGGGAGCAATGTAATGTGTCATTTCAGCGGCAACGAAATCCCAGACAGGCCGTTGCCTGAGAATGCCTTGGGCAACAAATGCGTTTCCCCAGAGATGGAAGGTTCATTGCGTAACAATGGATTGTCGAAACAGCAGAAACCAAATTGTTCCAAATGCTGCGTTCTATCTGGTACAGAACCCGCCTCCATAAGGGGGTTGAATGCATTCACCAAGTCTGTCTTGAGATAGTTGCCTCTGAAGATCAAAGGGTGCAGTTGAAGTAGAAGATTGAAGCATGGAATCACAGAAGCAGTTGAAGTGATACTAATTGTACTAGATTGTGTAAGCGTGAGTGTTCAATAAATATTAGCTAAATCCGAGACCCACGTGAAGTTATTTGTCGCGCTGCATAGGCAACACGTGACAATATTAAGATTTTCAGTTATTGATGTGAAATATTTATTAAAGCTATGAGCAGCTTCATCAATATTTATTTTTTTACTATTATTTTGAAACGTTTGTTGTAGACGTACACATCACATGCTAACAGCACATTCATAGTCAAGGGAATTTAATCTTGAAACCAAAGTAATGTGCCATGTACAGTTGCCAGAAAAACAGTGTTGATATACACTTTTAGCATCTGAAACATTTCTTTCAGTGTTATTGTGTTTCAATCTTTTTTATGTATTCACAGTGGTGCAGCAAATACAGAAACACATTTCAGTGCAAAACTGTGGTTCCATGTGTTTTAGTTGATAAAGTGACTTGTGGGAAGTATTGCAGTATGTGCATGCTGCTATTTAGTGTCCTGAAACTTGTCTTTATTCGTTTGCAACAAAGTTTTTTTATTAGCACATTTTAATTTCTATGACGATTGCAGTGCCTGTGCAGGCAAAGGGATGTACTATATTCTGTCACTCTAATATATGGATCATGGGTTTGAATACCACTCAGGGATGAATGTACGTAAGTATGAGGGGCAGTCAAATGAAAATTGGTCAGAAGCCAAAACATATTAAAGAACATTTCTTACCTCAAAGATAATCTCCAAAACTGGGAGATAAGACAGTCAGTCCCATCCTTGAAGAAGCTTGTGGGCTGTCTACGGAACCACATCTTTACCCAGCCACACATGTCTTTGTCCGATGCAAACTGATGTCCACGAATGTCTCTCTTCAGGTCTCCAAAAATGTGAAAATCACATGGGGAGAGATCTTAGCTGTAGGAGGGATGTTGAAGCACTTCCCAACCAAATCTCTGTAGCATATTCCTCACAGAGTTGGCAGTGTGGGGGCACGCATTATCATGAAGACAGATAATTACGTTCGATAGCATTCCAGGGCGTTTTGACTTTATGGCATGTCTCAGTTTCTGCAAAGTGTCTTCATAGCGCTGTGCACTGATTGTGGCCCCATGCTCGAGAAATTCGACAAGCAGAGGACCCTTTCAGTCGAAGAAGAATGTCATCATCACTTTACTGGATTGTGTGTATGGCTTTGGATTTCTTCGGTGGGGGATAATTCACGTGTTTCCACTGTTGGCTCTGCAGTTTGCTCTTGGGTTCAAAATGATGGCACCAAGTTTCGTCCCCAGTGGCAGTACGGGGCAAAAAAGCATTCTCTTCCTCATGGTATCGTTGCAAGTGACCCAGTGATGCAGCCATTCTCTGAGTCTACTGTTCCTCTGTGAGTTGATGTTGAACCCACTGTGCACAGTTTTTATGGTACAGCAGGTGGTTTGTCACAGTGGCGTGTACATAACCGTGACTTATTCCCATCAAAAGACTAATTTCTTCCACAGTGATCTGTCGGTTTGCCCGGATATGACCATCCAATAACATCAGGAGTGACGACACAATGAGCCTGTTCTGGGCAAGCATCATCTTGCAGCAACACATGTCCCTCTCGGAATCTCTTATGACATGCTGTGTTCACCATAAACAACAGACGTGTGACAGTGAAGTTCTCATCCTCTTCCTTCAGCAGTCAAAAAGTGCACTGCACTTCGCTGTTCTTCTTCACCTGCTTTCATTACTGATGTTGGACAACCACACATAGCGCTAACCTTACTTCCAGTACAATAAACAAATGACTAGTGTGCAAGGGCGCCTTGTCACTGAGCTTTCCCAAGTCCCCACCAGATGTTCGTACCGTAAGCAAATTCCAGTGTTACCAACTTGCATACCATGTGAGTTATGCATGGCGACCCATTTTCATATGAGCGCCCCTTATACATATATATATATATATATGTTTGAATGGGGTACTGGTACTGGCGGAGGACAATCAAATTGGCAGAAATACAACTCATCTCTGAGCACCCTTTCAGCTATTCCAAGAAATTTGGCACATATATGTTTATTGCCTTGACCACAAAAGTTCACAGATGGGCCTAAGCCTTAGCTATTTCAATCCAGTTCTCATCATTACGCCCTCATCGTAGTTATCCATTTAAGTTTCCATCAGGATGTCATCTGATAACCAAGCTTCCTTCATTCTTATGAGATGTGTTATTTAAAGTAATCTGGTATCTTCTATTGTTTTGCTGACCATGTCACATCTTTTACAGAACCCTTTAGTCATAATTTACAGGGCTCCTGAACAGGCTACCTAAGGTACAACTGTGGTGCCAAGAATTATATTCCTGTTTTACTTTGCCTTCCCCTAGTTCTGATATATCCCCCCTCCCCCAGTGAATATCACATTTAAAATATAATAATGTGACATGTGTTTGTAAACCCAGTCCCACAGTATAACAGTAGCATAACCCTAGTAATGTATCCTTAGAAAATCACTTAGTTAGTTAGTTAATTATTGAAGAGGGTGGGTTTCCCCATGCACTTAGACCAGTATTTGTCCATTGTGCTTCCCTCTATGATATTCTACCAGTCTCTATACCCTACCGATAATGGTGCGTATCATCAGTCCCGCCAAGCAAGCGAGTTCGGCCACCTGCTTGGCGGTGTCTATAATGCTTTCCCCATCTGTCAGAGGCCTTATAGACTATTGTTTGGCGGGAAACGTCCTGGAATTTGGCTCAGTGATCTCCTTTGGAGATATGAGGTTCTTTTATGTGCCGTAAAGTTACAACACGGGACACAGCTTAAAGTCCCTTCCGGAGGACTTGTTCCCTGAATTTTTCCGCCCTTAAAAATTCGACGACCTCCCCCGGGTATTTGAACCCGCGTACCACGAGTCATGAGGTGGGAACGTTACCTCTAGAATACGCAGGCCGCTTAGAAAATCACTTACTAAAGAGCAGACATTTTCATACAAATCATTTTATGAACAAGTTTTCACACCAACTACCTTCTCACTTCAGTCTGGTTGTAGATACAATGACATGTAGACCCATTGCTAGGCAACAACTGCAAAATAAACAGCTATAGAACAGCCGTTGCTAAGTAATGGCTCTGTAAATGACAGCCCTGCAACAGACATGCATGGAACATTGGAAGAGATGTTCTCTGTGCGGTCCATGCCGAGACTATATAACGAGGGCCAGCTGCCATTAGAGGGGAGTCTTGAGACTGCAGTGAGATTAGTAGGAGGTTTGTGTGAGATGGCCACCAGCCAGGGAGTCAGTTGGAGCAATGAGTTAATTGTGAGACAGTCACCGGCCAGTAAGGATATGAACATGGAAGCTGAGGAAGCTATAGCTTTGGAAGCTGTTACCAGGCTACAACCATTGAAGATAGAGCAGACTGAGAAGACATAATGCTTGCAGTAGTGAATTGTAGAGTGTGTGAATTAGCGATAGTGCTATAGTTACTTGTAGTTAGGCTGCGCCATAGCTCAAGCGGTTAGTCGCTGGCTTCCCACCATAGCAGCCTGAGTTCGATCCCAGGTCTGGTCAAGTGGGATTTGTGGTGGACAAAGTGGTACTGGGTCGGGTTTTCTCTGAGTACTTCGGTTCCCCTGCCAATCTTCATTCCACCACATTCTCCATCATCATAATCACCCAGGGCAGGCTACAATAGGTCAATCAGTGGCTGCTGTGCTGAGTGGACCCAGTTGGACTCCACCTCCCACTAAGCAAATTAATTAGTTACTTGTAGTTACTGTCTATAAGTGTGTGGTGAATCCACTTACCAATCCAAACCCCATCTTTAGTCACTAGCATCACATGAAAATACATTATCACTATGCACTTTCTGCAACCGGTAAGTCAGATTTCATTTCTTCTTTTCTAGGAATTTACAAATATGTTGACACCTTCTGTCTTGTTGGAGGATTGAATGCACCGAAGAAAATAGGATGTGTTGGCACAGATGGGATTGAAAGACCACAGCTTATTAAGGTAGAATACTTATTTAATATTACTCATAAAACAAAAAAAAACAGTCCATGGACTGTAGTTCGCAAGCGAACTCTACCGACAGAGCAACTGCCGCTTGTTGGTGAAGTTAGTGCCAACTTTTTGCGGATAGAGGGTGTCATGTGGTCAGCACAATGGATCCCCATGGCTGTTAATCTTGGTTTTCTAGACCAGAGCCGCTATTTCCTTGAAATAGCTCCTCAATTATCCTCACAAGGCTGAGAGGATCAGGTTCCAGACCCACTACTTCTCAGAAAATCTGGTAGCGCCAGGAAACGAACCCGGGACCTCTGGAACTTTGCCCACTAGACCACAGTACTCATACAAGAGAAAATTTATGTACAAGAGATAGGTAAGGCAGAACTCAGCTCTTTCTCCTAGATATTTGCAAACATCTATATCAGATTCAAAGATGTGTCTGCCTTAATATTAATGGTATTTATTATTTTATTTTGAAGGCTTCATGATTTTTTTTTATTTTGGATTTAGAGATAAAAATATCTGTTGACACTGTGCGCATGTATTTATGAAAACGCCCATGTGGATGAACAATATCTCTTAAAAGATTATGATATGCTGAGCTGTAACATTGTGTAATTCTGTGAATTTCTGCTGAACTGTACGCCATTATGACCTAGAGGATCACACTCTTTATGGTCATCACTTTGAGGACCTTAAATCCAACGTCTCCTAGCATCTTTTCTGTTTTATATAGGTCCTGTCACATCTTTCTTCCCACAGTCCGCCTCCTCCTCTTTCTTTATTTCTTCTTTTTCATATTCTTGTCCTTCGCCGGCTCTTTTCTTTTTAATATTTTCCAATACCTGGCTGAACCATCTTGTTCTAGGTCATCGATAGATTTCTTTCCTTTAAATTTAAATTTTGTTGTCCTCATTCTTCTTGTTTTATCCATTCTTTTCAAACTGCAGGATCATTGTAATCATTTCTCTTTCCACTCTGTCAACAAAGTTTGAAATTAACTCCTCATAAAATTTCATTTGTGATTCTATCCATTCTTGGTTTTCCCTCATTACTTCTAAAATTCATAACCATTTCTTAGATTTTGCCTCTCTTTCTCATAAGAGCTCATGTTTTGGCAATAAATATTAGGATTGGTTTAAAATGTACTGTCAAAGAGCCCATGTTTTAGTGTTAAATTTTAGAATTGGCTTAATATATATACTGTATACATTGTTGTATTTCATTATTTTTATTCTGGGATTTGTATTTTCTTGTTGGTCTCTTTGTTGATTTTCCTTCTGAATTTCTTTCACTTCCCAAATAAATTTGTCCACGTCTATGACCGTCCAAAATCCAACTCCAGGGTCTTCAACGTAGGTGAGGGTAACATCAAGTAGAGTAGCGCCTGTTGCAGTAAAAGCTAAAATAGAGTTGTCTTTGTGCATAACTAATTAAGCATTACTCCATGAAGATGTATGGGGGAGTTGATGTATAGATCCACGTTTTCTTGACTTCAGCACTAGGTGGAGGTGAGTGGTCACCTTCGTGCCCCCCCCCCACTTTACCTCCCCCTGGGGAAAGAGTCCCCAGTATCCATTGGATAGAAGGGTGTGTGGGCCCCGGACCCAGTCTGAACAATGTGGAATAGAGAAAGTTCGTGACCCTGCCGGGACTTGAACTTCAACCCCTTGGTTGTCCATCCCATAGCCAGTCGCTATACTGTCAATGCTGTCCTGGCTTGGGTGATGCACGATGCCGCCATGGAATCTGTAAAGACCAAACAGAAACTCTAAAAATGATAGCTGATGAGACTGGTAACATACCCATCAAACTGGCAGTGAATATGCTTGAAAATGACAAAAGCCATAGAGGGAAGATGAACATATGGCCTTTGCAGAATGTATGGGTGAAATGTAATAGTGATTTATATTGGCCACTTTTGACTGCTGCTTCACATGAAACCAGATATGAACTTGGAAAAACTGAGATTCCCAAAAGTAACATTTCACAGTACCATGGCAACTAGAAGTTTCTCTTTTCATCAACAACTGCTGAGTTGTGTTTTGCATGTAACAGGCATATGCAGTTAGTATATGCATTATTAAGTATTTGTTCAAAAGTGACACATTTGTGCCCACCATATGATATCATTCTTGAAGAGGCTGTGTGATTTGAGAAATATACTGTAACTGTTGTTTTCATAGATAGCATCCAAATTCTTATTCAGAATTTATTTTCCTTCATAAATCACCATTTTATGAGATGCATTCTGATTTCAGGGCAAAGATGATCTACGTCAGGATGCAGTGATGCAGCAAGTATTTACTATATTGAACACACTTCTGAAGAACAACAAGGAGACACAGAAAAGGAAGCTCCTTATCAGAACTTATAAAGTAAGCAAATCCTGGTGAAAGCAGTTGATAGTGGACATTATTACTGTAGGATTGTCATCGTCGTTGTTTGAAGCTGAAGATTGAGGAATGTAGCATTGGGGAAAATTACATAATTTGTGGGTAATAAGTTGAAGTAAGTTTATTATACGCTCAAGGAGTGACATGTAAGGTTACTTATAGTTATGAAAACAAAAGCAGTTGTCATCATTTTCATCAATGAAGAGTTTCAAAGGAAAATATAATTTGGATTATTAAAGAATATTGATAACTGACTACTGTTCACATCTTTAGGAGATAATACTTGTGTGGGGACATCCCACATAGCACGCTGTTTCCACCGGTCTTTTAGACAACACTCACTCCTTAGTGAATATCGCATTGCCGGACATTTCATTCATATTTATACAAGCAAGCACTGCAAATTTCTGCTACTCATTTTCGCTAGCCAATCAGCGCTCTGCAAATTGTTGCTCCTCAAATGCAAGTTTCTCTCCGCCCACCGAGCATTGTATAAAAGGCGGAGCACAAGCTCGCAAGTCGTCAGTTCCACATCAGTCTACAAGCAGTCTACTTCGTATTGCTGCGCCAGGCACGACTGCCTCGGCTGTCCGGCGGTCACACCCGATTCACTGGGCAACTCGGCCGCCTCGATTCGCCGGCGGTCATGCCCGACTCACTGGGCAACTGGCATAGCTGCCACCTCTCCACTCCTGCGACTGCGCTCGTCAAGCAAACATTTTCCAGCAACCAGGCAACTGCCGCACTGTGGCTAGGCAACCGACTCATCTGCCGCGACAGCATTAGTCCACGCACCGCAACCAACATCTCTCTCTACCGGTATACGTAGCGCTACTTCACCGGCCAAACATCCCAGCAGCCAACGGTCCTTTTTAGGACCTACAAACTTTTCTGAAGAAGTGGGTTGTCATCGGAGTAACGACAAAGCCCCACACTTGCAATAAGACTTGTGAAATTGATCAAATGAATGTATAATAATTGATAGATGTAGCTTTTTTTTTTGTGCCTTTTTGCTGATGGAATGCTTCTTGTAATGTACTCCTGTGTTTGTTCTAGTCAACCAGGACTGATATACAAGCAGTGCAAACCACTCTGTAATGTAATGTAAACTGGGAATAGTATACCAATTAATACCATAAGTACAAATGTTGGTGTACAAACAGTGTGGCAACCATGAAGGAAATCATGACTCTAGTAAGAGAACACCTACTGGTGCCTCTGGGTGACATCACCAGCACAATATGAAGTTTGGAAACCAATAACATCACAGTATTTAGGGTTTCTGGGCTAATAGTTCTTCACTAAGGCATTTATATGGATGACAGTAAATGTATCTATATTAAAAGATCAGTGAAATGTGAATTAAAAATTGTCATGTGTCATTGTCTTTAATAAATCATAGCTTTAATGCTGAATTGCTCGAAGCGTGATTGTTAAGTCACTAAATGAAGTTTTGAGACCTGGAACTGGAACTGAGCTGGTAAAGCTGTCACATCAGGATGCATAACTTGAGAGTACAGCAGCAGGCCATATCCTCAGTCTTGCCTGAAGATTTGTACCATGGTAGAGCCAACTGTAATTAAAATTTATGGTGGATTAAAGCAGTTGTTGGTCACAGGCATGTAATAGGGAGCCAGAGGTAAAAATCATAGATTTAGTACACTGCAGTTGAAACCTTGCATTAGTGGGTTAAGACCTTCTAGAAATCTGCAGACCTAACCTGGACCAAAGTGTTTTGCCTTAGTCAGAAGTGTTATACACAATTTTCATGTCATGTATAGAGTTATGTGTAGGAAAATACATGCTGTTTGTTGTGCCACAGTATACATTAATAATATAATAGGTGACTTGTTATACATGGGGGTCTTGTTCCTGAAAATCACCATGTATATCAGAAGTGTGTAAAATGGGAAATGCATTAAATGACCAATGAGCAGGAAGTAACATGAGTGAGTCAAAATGATTGGTTGAGTCAGAGAAACTGGGCATGCACAGCAGCTACTACCATGGCCACAGGTAGGATGTTGAATCTCTTCATGACATTCAAATAAAATGGTGGATGTATGAAAAGCAAATAACAAAAGAATATACAGTAAGAGTCTCCTGCGTGTCATTACTGAGTACATCTGAATGTAATTCCAAGTGGCTTAAAAGTTGGTCACATGAAAAGGAAAAATGTAATCTTGCACTTATTAGAAAAAGGAAAAGTAACCTGATTGTCCAAATTGCCAAAATTCTAACCTGTTCTGAATATTTATATGCTACAATTGTGATTGAGGGTTTGAAATAAGTTTGAATGGATTCAGAGAGTTATAGTGTCTGGGGGGGGGGCAGTTATGTCCACAGATCAGGACTGGTCATCTGAAACAGTCATAAAGTTTCTGTATGTTTGGCCATCTAATTTTATGCTTTCATCGCCTTGTCAATCACCTGTTGTAGGCAGTATAAGTTCAAACTTGCCACCCTGTTCTGCAGAACATTTAATTTGTGCCTTGAGTCTTCGAGACTTTAGAGAAGTTGAAACAATATACTCGTGAAAATGTCTGCCAATACAGTTGTTCAGATAAACATTTTTAAATATTTGATAATCAGTCTGACTACTTTCCAGGCTCTTATCATTACCATAGGTTAGAGCCTCATAATGCCTTAATCTGTCCTCTCAAGAGAGAACAGCTGACCCCAGGACCATGTACAGAGCAGTGGTACACAACAATTTGCCTGATCTAAGTCACTGAGAAGCCTCAAGAAATGCAGCCCAGAACATTTCAGTTGCTCCATGATAGTAGTTCTTCACACATAGCAAACATGTCACTTTCTTCAAGAACACTGCAGTACAGCCACTAACCCATCAAACTGGACATCATAATAATTCTCCTTTCAGGGAGTGGACTGCTTTCAAATTCGCTTAGTGGAAGGATGGAGTCCAACTGGTTCCACTTGGCATGGCGGCCACTGATTGGCCTATTGTACTTGCCCCGTGTGATTATGATGATGGAGAATTTGATGGAATGAAGATTAGCAGGGAAACTGAAGTGCTCGGAGAAAACCCGCCCCAGGGCAACTTTATCCACCACAAATCCCACTTCACCAGACCCGGGATTGAACTTGGGCCACTGTGGTGGGAATGAAGTGCCTAACCACTTGAGCTATGGCATAGCCTACTGGACTGCTTTCAAAGTCATTGACTTGTATTCCCCAAAGGTGCTAGGTCCACATGAACAGTATCTTGCAGCAGTACCATAAAATGAGTGGCCCCATTGTTTTCAGAGTTGATGCAGGAGGATTTAACTTTCCAGGGATGAAATACATTACTAAAAATGTAATTGCTGAAGTAGGAGTATGATTAATAGATTAACTCATGTCTCAGAACTTTTCTGTGTGACTGTGTATGATCTACAGTACGAGTAAATATACATGTAAATCATGAGCATCATCTTCTGCTCTTCTTTCAGTAATGAATGAACTGATGAACTGTTACAGGTGGTTCCCCTGTCGCAGCGAAGTGGAGTTCTAGAGTGGTGTCAGAACACTGAGCCAATGGCTGCATACCTGATTGGGCCAAATAGTGCTCATTGCAGATACTATCCACAAGACCTCACACCCCAAGCCTGCAGGAATGCTATGCTTGTATGTATACTTAATTAGGTTTAGGTGGTAATCCATGCCTTTCCTACCAACTAATCCTAACTACAGCCTGTCAGTGGACTGTACATAATGAAAACTGAAATTCTACAGGTGTACAGGTGTGTCATGTTGTGCATTATTAAATGCACTGTCAGCAATGTTAAATACAGGCAAATTCTGCTATAATATGATCCCTCTTCATTTTTTTACAATGTTTATCTCTGTTTTTGGTGCATTGTTTCATATGATGACACTCATGTTCTTCAGTATTGCAGAAACAAAGCAATTGGATTTGGATTAATGTATGAGGGACAGTCAAATGAAAACGGGTCAGAAGCCAAAACATATTAAAGAACATTTCTTACCTCAAAAGTAATCTCCAAAACTGTTAATACATTTATCCCACTGGGAGATAAGACAGTCAATTCCATCCTTGAAGAAGCTTGTGAACTGTCTATGGAACCACATCTTTACACAGCCACACACGTCTTCGTCTGATGCAAACCGATGTCCACGAATGTCTCTCTTCAGGTCTCCAAAAAATGTGAAAATCACATGGGGAGAGATCTGGGCTGTAGGGGGGATGTTGAAGCACTTCCCAACCAAATCTCTGTAGCATATTCCTCACAGAGTTGGCAGTGTGGGGGCACGCATTATCACGAAGACAGATAATGCCGTTCAATAACATTCTAGGGCGTTTTGACTTTATGGCACATCTCAGTTTCTCATCATCACTTTACTGGATTGTGTGTATGGCTTTGGATTTCTTCGGTGGGGGATAATTCACGTGTTTTCACTGTTGGCTCTGCAGTTTGCTCTTGGGTTCAAAATGATGGCACCAAGTTTCGTCCCCAGTGGCAGTACAGGACAGAAAAGCATACTCTTCCTCATGGTATAGTTGCAAGTGACCCAGTGATGCAGTCATTCTCTGACTGTGAGTCTTCTCTTACTCCGTGAGTTGATGTGGAACCCAATGTGCACAGATTTTGCGGTACAGCAGGTGTTTTGTCACAGTGGCGTGTACGGAACCGTGACTTATTCCCATCAAAAGACTAATTTCTTCTGTCGGTTTGCCCGGATATGACCATCAAACGCAGCAATAACATTCAGGAGTAATGACATGATGAGCCTGTCCTGGGCAGGCATCACCTTGCAGTGACACACGTCCCTCTCAAATCTCTTATGCCATACCAGCACATGCGAACGTGACATGCCGTGTTCGTCGTAAGCAACAGACATGCGATGATGAATTTCTCATCCTCCTACTCCTTCAGCAGTCAAAAAGCACACTACACTTCACTGTTCTTCTTTACCTGACTCCATTACTGATGTTGGATGACCACACACTGTGCTAACCTTACTTCCATCATAATAAACAAACGACTAGCATGCAAGGGCACATTGTCACTGTGCTTTCCCAAGTCCCCACTAAATGTTCGTACCATAAGCAAATTTCAGTGTTACCAAGTTGCGTGCCGTGTGAGTTATGCATGGTGACTCGTTATCATTTGATTGCTCCTTTTATTCTAGGAGCAGTAGCTTCCTATTCCAGGTAAGGAGTGAAATAAGTAACGTCGTTTTGGTTCCCTTTAAAAATTAAATCCTTCATATGATCAGGTGTGAGGTATTCTTAATGAAAATGACAGTTCTGAGGTATGAAGAGTCAATGGATGTTTGAATTATAAATTCTTGTAAAAGGAGAAATATCAAATGGCAAGTGTAAGCTATCTTGGAAATTTTGAAATATATATCACACAGGATTCCATGTTAAGATAATCATTATCTGTATATATAAAATGTTTGGATATATGTCCACTCTTCGCCAATTGGAACAAGTTTGTAGGAACAGTGGTGGAAGCGCCACTTGATGCCCCTATTATAAGCTGCTCACAGGGGATACATGCAAAGCAAATAACTACTGAGAAAATTGTATGAAATGGCATTCACATCAGTGGACACAGAAATTAAATTGCAAGCTGAAAATGCTCTGTACTGTTTCTTGATACATGGTAAGATTTACCATTTGGTCTTATAGCTGTATCCAGATAAGACAAACAAGCCAGGTTATGGGCAACTTTATATTACAGATTCTGCTGAAGCAACAGCAGAACAGCTTGACAGACATTTAACCTTTATCCTATGGTTGTTAGATATATCTAACAGCAAGTAACACTGCTGTGGCCGAATGTTAGATTTATCAAATGCAGTACACCTGCACCCTTTGGGAGTGCTGACGGTTTAATCTTCAGGTTTAAACCACAACAAACCCATGCAAGGTCAAGTCAGTGGTTCATTCCTTAGCTCTGAACAATGACATTGTTTATCACAGTACTGGTTTCGATACTATTTACGTTTAGATATGACTGTTTATGACCTGGTCAGCCAAATAAAGCACAGCTTTGTTTTGAGAACTGAGAAGTAAATATTCATCTGAGCATGCAGATTAGTGCTATCCAGGCTTGCATGGAAGTGGGTCATTGTCAAGGATTGGTTTTCAGTAGCGAATTATCAGTCAGAAAGTCGCTGTCAGATTTTCAATTATTCATTTATAAA